TGTAGGGATAGTCTCAGCAGCATACACACCTTAGTGCAAAGTTGTGTGTCGTGTGTCAGTATTTACAAAAACTATACCAAATAAACTAAACTAAACTAAACTATGCCTAAACTAGGCATAGGCTCAGCAGCAGACATTAACAGTGGCCACTAAAGGGAGGAAGACCTGTTGGCTTTCACTAGCTGGGAAAGCACTTCCAGAAACCCAGTATTAAATGCAGCTTGTCGCTCATCCTGCCGCTCCTGGCGCCGCTCGCGCTGCGCCGACGCTTCCTCATGGCGCAGCGCCCACACTTCATCCTGGTGCTGCTGGCGCTCCATCTGCTGCTGGAACACTTCTGCCTGGCGCTCCATCGAGGTGAGCATTTTGTCCTCCGTTTCCTGGGCCTTGGTGAACTGCACCACCTGATCTCCGCGCAGCGACTCATTCACCACGGCACGCCGGTCCTCCAACGCCTGGACGGTCTCAAAGAAAAGTGCATCCTGTGTCCGCTTTCCTAAGAGGGGAAAATAAGCAAGATACAAGATCAACAACCAGAGACAATACATCATGTATTTTTTAGCTGCCCGGATTATAACAGACAAAGACTCATTCTGAAAACTGCACTGGAACAACTCAACATCAAGGACATGGATTTCAAGTCAATATATGAAAGTAAATCAAGAAATGAAGCAAACAAGCTGATCTTCAAATTCCTCAAAAGCACTGGTCTGAGGACAAGGATTTAATAAAAACATTTAATAAATCAAAAGTAGGTGGCGATATATGCTCCAAGTGGAAGCGATTTCTTACCGGAAGTCATGTGACCTCTAGCCCGGATGTTTACAATGTTTGTGAGAGAGTAAAAAGGCGCAAACTTTTGTAAATGCCGGTCTAGGCGAATACGTTTTCACGCTGTTTCATAATTATACCAAGAAGGAAATAAACATGATTGTGAACATCAGTTCCATGCGTAACGTTCTTTCAAGACAAAGTTACAGTGTGTGTACCTTTGCGTTTGGTTGCCGGTAAGGGAGACGAGCAAGCGCTTTGATCTTCAACGCCAAGCTCGCTTGTTTCCAATCCCGAGAGTTGATGATTTTCCTCGCCTGAAACACATGATTAGTGCCATGAGTTAGTGAAGCAAATTACAGAAACACTGCACAGTTATTCACAAGTCAAAACGTTTTCATAGCGGCCGAGAATATCTAGCTAGCTAGATGTTAGTAGCCAGCTCGGGGCCAGTGTTAGCTAGTTCAGCCTAGCATGGCTAACTTGATCTACTGAGCAAATAAAAGTACATCTGAGACCATTATTGTGCAGATTAAAACCCCAGTGCATGTAGTTGCTTTTACCTTCGTCGTGGTCGCCCTCTAAATCCGCCGTTGGAGCGGCCTCCGATGCCATACTGCCTGAATCAAGGCTCGATGCTGTACCTGAGAATGAAGGTCTGTGGCCTAGCAAAGCATCCAAGCGGTCGAACCATTTACTGGTCCTCCGGTCGTTACCACTTTTATTGTTCCAGTCTTTAGTTTTTTTGTAGTCCTGCCGGAGTTTCTTTATTTTCAGCCGGCATGCCATGGCGCTGTGCAAGATTCCCATCTCAAGCAACTTGTTCGAACAACGATCGAACATCTTCGAGTTGGGTACTGGCTTCAGCAGCATTCCCTGGGTCGCGTCCTCGGCGTAGATGTCCAGAAGTGCTGATACCTCCTCATCACTCCATCGCTCCGATTTCCTGATGTTTGCCATAACTGCGTTAAAAAACAAACTACTCTCTCCGTCTACTCTCTCCGTCGGTGCGCTGGGGTTTTGTAGCGAGGAAAAACAATGGCGGCTCTACAAAACATTTTCACAGTTGTACGGGGCGTGGTTTGCAATTCGCCCAGCCAATCAGCACTGGGGCACTTTTCACCCACAGGAAAGTACGATCTCTCAGCGGGCTCTAAAAATGGGGGCAAAAGTTCCCGAGATTAAGTACGATTTTTGGTGTGAACGCGACATAAGGGGTACTCACGGAACTAAACGCGAAAAGTACGGTGAAAAGTACTCCGGTGTGAACGCGGCTATGGTGATCTAGGGGGGGGGGGGGGGGGGCTGATTGGCTAATGGTTACACAAGACAAAAAATCGTTATGACATCATAAAGTGGCCAAAATCTGATCAGCTGATTTTCAGACAGGATTTTATATAAATGGATCAGGACAAAAAGAGAGGGGGTCTTTTTTCCTGAAACTTTCATAATCTCTTTACACAGGGGGGACACATGTTGATGTAGAAGAGACATGAACAAGTGGATTTTGCATAATAGGTGACCTTTAAGAGAAGAACGACCGATCACTGTTACTGATGTCGGTCCTCTCTGGTGTTTGGAGTTAGTGTCTACACCTGTCAGCAATTTAAAGATATGAAATATTTGAAGGCCCATGTCAAGTTTACAAATGGGGGGATACAGGACCCTCAGATCTACAGGTTTATTGAAGGCTATAGAATCATGTGGACAGCGGTAACGTGGCTAATGTTATGCTAACTGAATGCTAACCAAACGTCGGCATATCATGAATAATTGATCTCCCATATATGTACTGTGATATATCCTGAATCATATTTCCCAGTGTAGTGCTCTGTTCCTGTAGTTCAACACATTCAGCGTCTCTTGCGGATGTTTGCGACGTCTCCCTGTTAGTTTAAAAGAATAAAATGTAATCCCATGGTCCTTTTTTGTTTTATTCGTTGGTCATAGGAGGGACATAACAGTTCCTAACAACGCTGTACAAACGTTTAATGTAATAAAAGTTACGCTACTTCGCTCCCTGTATGGATGGACGACGTCTTTTCCCCATTGGAGAAAAGTAAAGTGGACAGTGAGGATGTCCAGAGAGGAGCCTGTTTCATCATAGTATCAATCCTATGACAAAATCCATATTATTGCACGTGCTGCTTATCTAAAGCCACTGAGAGCAGGGACATATTGTTTATAAAGTAAACGCTATGCACAAGGGCACAGAAGTCCCTCTCTTACACAGGGTCTGCAGATAAAAACAGCTGATCGTTGGGTTGCTTTACACCCGGGCTTTAAAAGAGACGGAGCAGCAGCAGAGAGGGCGGAGGAGTCATCATTATCTCCATGTTCACACCGGAATAAAAGTGCAGCGTGGCTCTGTAACAAAGGCAGCATCAGCAGAGCCTCGCCCGTCCCTTTCCACCCAGAGAAGAAACATTAATAACCCCCCCCACGACATCGCAGATTATACACACACACACACCATGTAAAGACCAGGATTGCATTTAATCAGGAGACTAAACAAGGTAACTGTATTTCCTTAGAGTTACATAAAACAAATCAGGCTACATTTATAAAAACGTTAGATTACTATCAGGATTAGAGTGTTAGTAAAACCCTAAAAAGAGCATATTTGTTGTAAAAGGATCAGATGTTATCTCTTCTCTGTCAGCTGTACTGTTCTGTAGGATAATACTTGTGAATATATACTTCTTACTGCCTGAATCTGCTTTATGCTTTTCACTTTCTTTGGTTCATTTCCTCCGGGTCCAATTCAGCAGGTGAACCTATGTTCATTAAATAGTGTGTGTGAGCATTACTGTGTGTATTAAACTAAAACTGTAATATGTGTAAGTAAAACAGCCACCAAGTACCAGGACCTGGTCCCTCAATGCAGGGACAAAGGGTGGCAGGCCTGGCCTTTCCCAGTTGAGGTCGGCTGCAGGGGCTTCACAGTGCAATCTGTGTGGAAGATGCTCTGGGAATAGCTGGTAGTAAAAAACAGCTGCTCTTAGGTTGAGGGAGGCAGTGGAAAGAGCCTCTTGTTGGCTCTGGAACAGGCGTGAAAGTTGTGCTGGAAGCCAGGGGAGGAATGTCCGATGAGAGTTGGACAGAGGTGGGATGTAGTGGAGTGTGAATACTTTGTTACTGTACTTAAGTACATTTTTCTGGTATCAGTACTTTACTCCCCTACTTATTTTTCTGACGACTTTTTACTTTAACATTTTTAACACAAATACCTGTCTCTTTCTACTTCTTACATTTTCCAAACAGGCTGGTTCCTTTAGTTTGAATGTGTGTTTGGTGGCGTGATCATTATTATTTAGAGTCATTGCGTGCCTATTGATTTGAACACGATCCGTGTATCCATCATTTCCTGATCTTCTCTAAAGAAGAGGGACCAATGAAAACGTTGTCATGTTGCCGTTGTTCAGCATGGAAACATTCATTAGCTAACAATGACATTATTGTTCTATTAATATAAAGAAAGGTCAGGTACTCTTTAAAACAGCTGGTAGTTATGGGTACTTTTTACTTAAGTATATTTCGAAGCCGATACTTCTTTACTTTTACTTGAGTAAAGAAGTTTAGTCAGTACTTCTACTTTACCAGAGTATTTTTAAACACGAGTATCTGTACTTCTACTTGAGTAAAGGATGTGTGTACTTTAGCCATCTTTAGAGTTGGACCCCCCCTGACGACATCCTCTACTGGCCGAAAGCCTCAGTCAATAGTATATATCTGAAGGTGCTAGCATTAGATGTATTTAATAGTGCTCATGTTTCATTGTTGGTGTATATAGGCTACTGCCTGAATATGCTGAATGAAAGGCAGGTTTTCTTATAAATACAATCTTTTCTGATCCTAAATATCTAGTTTAGTTATTTTCTAAGGTCACATTGTTGTGGTGTCTTAAAAATACACTTCAGTAAAAAACATCTTATTGATAATTCTTTCTTCTTGTGTTTATCTGCATTGCATTTGATATTGAGGTAATCCAAAAGTAAAGGAAGTAATCAGGTTAGGTTACTTAGATTACACTTTTCTTAAAGGTAACAAGTTATTGTAAAGGATTGCATGTTTATTTGATTCACCTCGAGATATGTACGGTGGATAACTTGAACTATTTCATCATGTATATGACTTCCAACCCCAAAGGGGAGAAGAAGCAGATCAGGTGAAACAAAGGACAGAGACATTGTCATTAAGCAGAGAGCACATTTTCCTGAACAGGCAGCAAAGGATGAATACTTTATTATTTTGTTCACGAGTACAAGTAATCTCCAATAATTCGAAGGACAAAGAACTGGTCAAATAAAAACTGTATTCAACGTCAAATAAACTATTTGAAAAAAAGAAAAGAAAAGGTGTTTCCTTTGAGGCTAAACCAAGAACTTTGTGTGATTTTTGGTCAATTCGATTTAAAACTTTGGAATGATACTGAACTTAACAGCAGATAACTATACAGATTTAGAGAGGCCCTATTATGCTTTTTTATGTGCATGTAACCCCCCCCCCCCTGAAAACCACTACATTGGACTCCTTTGTTTACTTCTGTAACATAAGACTGTAACACTTGCGGTCCTATGCTCCAACACATTGTACTTGATAGGCTAAGGGGCGGGACGTCTATAAATGGTTGACCAATAACAACAGAGCTGGCCAGCTAACCAATCAGAGCAGACTGGGCTCTGGTTTCAGACAGAGGGTGAAAAGAGTTGCTGCTTTTTGAACATGAAACCATGGAGACAGTAGAGCCAAAAATGTATAACAACCTGAAAATAAGAATAACAGGGCCTCTTTAAACTCAATTAGGAATGAAAATGCAAATGAAACCCAACAAATGGAGCTCAGATATGATAATGTGGAACTTTTTGTGAAAGTGTTTAATATTCAGCAGTGATAGCCCTCGAGCTCCATCCTGTCACATGAAGTGCGACGCCAACAAAACAAACCCAGAACAGACCGAAGCTTTAAAACAGATCGGCGGGCAGAATGAACAACATGCCAGAGAACAGACGAGGGGTGGAACCACATCGTGTGTTCATCATAAAAATCCTCTGCACCTACACAACACGCTCCGTCACCTCTGCACACAGCTTCAAACGCTCAGACCTGTAATCTCTTTTCCAGTGTTAAGGCACAAACTATTGCTCTGTTAATACAGGAATATAAATGATCTTTGGTTACTGCAATGTCATTTAAACAATCATAACATATTAAAGGTGCTGCTGCTTTGAATGCTATTAAACAAACTTACATGTTTTAGGTGTCTGCATCATAACTCCCAGAAGAGGGAAAGAAATAAAACGAACCAACAGAGAACGGAGCATGCAACCTGCAGCAGCAAAACTCTAAAGTAAGCCTTTCAAAGTGCACATTTTGTATCTTAAAGCCACATCTTTTTACATTTGGGAAAGACCGTGTTACATCACAGAGGTTTTTGGTTTCCAGCTGAGAAACAGATTCAACTTAAATAAACTAAACGGTTTGAAAATGAAAGTAAAGTAAAATCACATTTATGAAACATGATTACAGTGCTTAAAGGGATAGTTTGACAACATGTTATATTACTGAAAGTTAGATGAGGAGATTGACACCTCTGTGTGCTAAATATGGAGCTACAGCTAGGGGGAAGGTTAGCTTAGCATAGAGACTGTAAATTGCCCTGTAAGACGGTTAGCCTAGCTTAGCATAGAGACTAGAAATGAAGGGAAACTGCTGGCCTGGCTCTCTCCATTGGTAATAAATTATCGGAGTAGTGTTACATAAAATCAATGTCTTATCTTTGGTTTGCTTTGAATAAAAACCAACATACATATTTTTTATGGTGGGGCAGATGCATAAAAATAAATCTACAGCTAGGAGACGGTTAGCTTAGCTTAGCTTAGCTTAGCTTAGAGACTGGAAACTAAGGGAAACTGCTAGCATATCTCTGTAAAAGGTTGTTAACAATCTGAGTGCCATTACATCAAGACCTTCATAATCAACATGTGTTATTGTTGGTTTACTCTTATTATTTAAAATAAGTTTTTTTTAGGGGGGGGGGTTGCATTCAGTCTATATAAAAATACACGATAAAAAAGACGTAAATTCTCCCATGTAACTCTTTCTTAGGGCTGCAACAAACAAGTTGAATTTTCTTTAATCTCACCAATGACTCTAGATGAATGGTTTGCATGTATAATGTGAGAAAATATTGAAAAATCTCCATCCCAGCTTCTCAAAGTCCAAGGAGATGTCTTTTGATTTCCTGTTTTTTCAGTGAAAAACGTAGAGATATTTAAAATCGACTAATTGTTGCAGCTCGCCTGTAAAAAAGTAAATATATGTATTCACTAAAATGTCAAACTATTCCTTTAATGTGCCACTGCTATAACAGGTTTAATGAGTCAGAATGAGCATAATTACTGGTAGATTGTTGCTGTATAATAGCTTTTTTGGTGTATACTTATAATGCATGATCAATGAATAAAGTTGACATAATTCTTCAGTGGAAAGTACTGCAGGACAGAACAGCTGTAAATTCGATAAACAGTCTTAAAACATTAAGCAAACAAATGTTCGCAAATCCAGCAAAAACACTGCAACGTGCACACGACACCGACCTGCTGATTTAGGTAAAGATAAAACTCTTTGAGAATCTGTACTGCGAAATGTTTATGTAGAAAAACATAAAGTCTGTCTTCTCAGGAGTATAAAAACACTGATTAAAGGCCGCGGTGATCCACGTCTTTATGCACTTACAGGTGGAAAATAAACTCCTTAAAAAAGGCAGCTATGGAATAAAACAGCTACTGAGATGCATAAACAAAATCCAGGATTTACGAACAGGAAGTATTCCAGTTCTTCCATTATAAAAAACATCCCAAATATAAAGTACCTATGTGTCTCTCTTATAAAAGAATCTCAATAAAATTAGATTTTTATATAAAAACTAGCGTGCAAATTGGAGTCTGAGCATCATCTTTAAGACATCAGGAGGTTTGATCGGACTTCAGTCTCTCCTCCGAGTTTCTCGAGTATTTGACGCAGAACGAGTCTCCGTCGGGGGGAAACTGAATGCCGTCTGACGGGGAGAGCAGCGGCGTGGAGGTGATCCAGGAGGAAGCATCTAAAGTCTGATCCAGGCAGTCTTTGGAGGCAGGAGGAGCAGCGTCTTTGGTATAAGGCAGAGTGTCTTTATCTGCAGAGGGGAGCTCCTTCTCACTGTCTGTGTGCAACACCGGCCCGCTCCTCTGCTGCTTTTTATCGCTAAAGGAAGTCTTGCCGAGTGACAGGAAGTGAGGCTTAGGGCCGAGCGGCGACCCCGCTTTGACCCCGCTGAGGCTTAGGATGTTTCTCCGGGTTTCGTAGGGGAGTTTATCCAACTGCCTGCCGACCTGCACCGGGCTGGGGAACAGCGTGCCCTGACACGCCCTGTAGAAATATCTGGAAGCAAAACAGAGACACACATTAGACAGAAATACTCCTCTGCAAAACATCTCTCACAGCAATAACTGTAGCCAGGGAAGTTAAAATGATCAATTTACCACTACTTTAATCTATTTAAGAGGACATTTTCTGCTCATTTTCAGGTTCATATCAGTATGTAGTGTCTCTACTGTGACATGTCTTCATGCTTTAATGTTCAAAAAGCGCTTTATTTTTCTCATACTGCCTGTGCTGCAGCACCTCTTTTCACCCTCTGTCTGAAACCAGAGCCCAGACTGCTCTGATTGGTTAGCTGGTCGGCTCTGTTGTGATGTGTCAACCACTTAGAGATGTCCCGCCCCTTAGCCTATCACGTACAATGTGCTGGAGCGCTAGCCAATAGAAGCACAAATGTTCATTAGTAATGTCCCTATGTTTTGGAAGTAAACAAAGATCACACTAAAGGGAAGTTAAAACCCCAAAAAGAAAAATAGGGCCTGTTTAAAATAAGAACAGCATTGCTTCGAACAGTGAAAGAATGCCGGCTCTTTGGATAAACCTGAAGAACATCTGGTGCAGAGAGAGCTCGTTGCATGGGTCATAAATTAGAATTAAATAAATAAATCTGAGGAACAGGGGAGTGGGTATTCAGTGAGACACAGATGTGGGGGGGGGTACCTGGGCAGTAGAGCGGCTGCAGGTGTGATCACACACAGCAGGTAGAACAGGGGGTCCTGCAGGAGGCGCTGCATGCTCCAGTACGGGTTGGAGGGGGAGTAGCAGGTGGGGCAGGAGGCGTTGTAGCACAGCGCCACGGTGAAGAACAACGAGATGCTGAAGCAGATGCACAGCCAGTTCATCCACGTCTGAGGGAGAGGGCACGGAGGAGGGGTATTAGCTTTCTATTCGATTAAAATACACCAGGATGGACATTCAAAGCCTTAAAACAAGAAACAAAATGTCTGAATGTGTCGGTCGCATAATTTAGAATGAAGGACACAAAAAATATCTGATTTAAAAAAAACCTATACGACGTTTCCTGAAGCACTTTTTACCTTTTTCTTTTGCACTTTTTATTCATTGAAATGGTTTTGAATCAAAAAGGCAAACTTATTTATTTTCAGGGAGTAAAAGTTTGAAAAATAAATGTATTTTACTAGATGACTTAAATCCAAAAGTAGATTACATGAATGACATCAAAAAATGTAAAAGGTAAATAAATATATAACTTTAATTTATGTCCATTATCTTTTTATTTGATCCAATAACTTTTATTATTATTGTTTTTATTTATAAGAAGGAAAACAAATGTTACTTTAATTTATTTCCATATATCCGTTATTTTCGTACTTCAAAATAAAAGCATGCAGTCTGTATGAGCTGCGATCTATCTTAATGATAAGAGATAAGAAATATGCATTTGATATTTGTAGTATTTATTTGCTGCAGATGTTTGCCTCTGAAGCACTTCAATACTTCTATCAGATATTTTACATTGGTTGATATTTGGATTTAGATACAATTTATTTTGCAGCCCTATCTAGAACATATCATACATTCAAGCAGGTGAAAAAAACCTATACATTCAAAAGGCTATTTTTAGGCATATATTATGGGTCTCAGATAAGAACATGTAAAAACACGTCTATGATGTGTTTTGCTCAAAATACAAACAGATCATGCATTTTAGACATCCCTCATATCCCTCTGTTTTAGCCCTGTTAGAGAAACGCGGATTTTGGGTTCTTAGCTAATGCCTGATCAGAATTCTACCGGAGATCAAGTTACATTCTGCTGTGATAAGACACAATCCTGTTCTAAACCACATCAAGGATTATGTCTGAAACAGTATGGAGCTCAAATGTTTTTTCTCTTGCGGGTTTACCACAAGGTGAGTTCCTTTTTTTATTTCCTGCTTTTTAAACACGTGCTCTCCAGTACAGGTTAGCTCTGAGTGTTAGCGAGGCTTGCTAATGTAAACAAAGACGAGATTACGTCCAAAACACGTCAGACATTGTTTCTGATAGCAACTTTCTGTGGGTCCACCATCCGAAATGACGTAATATCGGCAGCAAATCTGTATCCGCTCGTTGTACCCCCATTTTTAAAATATGTGGGTACGGAGGAAAAGAGAAAGGGTTTTATTTTCTGACGCTGCGTGAGTTCCCCGACGCACCGCGGACACATATTTATGTATAAAAGACATCAAAAAGTGCATTTTGCATGATACAAAAATCATTTTATATTCTCTTTTCAAGCTGTTACAGCAAAACTGTCCTCATGCCCCCATGACTGACAGACATCTGACAAGGTGAATGCTATAAAGAGTGTGTATTGTCCCGCCTGACACACACACACACACACACATAATTAATTACAGCCTCACAGCTCTTGCCTGCTGTCATCTCAAATACCTTTAATTGACTTTCACAGCATTTTCCCATCATGCATCATTCATCATTCATCCGGAGCAGCAGGATGTTTACCTGCCGCTCACCGTGAAAACCTCTCTGTGCAGAAAAGGACATTTTCAACATGTCGGGGGGGGGGGGAATTTACAGCCTCAGCATAATGGAGGAGACTCTGACCCACTGCACGGTCGTAAATTTAAAATGGATCCTGACCAGCACGTTTACGGGAAACATGTGGACACCTGAGAGTAAAACCAAGAGAGCAGGGAGGGAGTATATAAATATTTTGGAGCATTGGGGGAGGCAGTTTGCTGTCAGAGTGATTTATAGCCTCTGATTCTTAAAGCTTTCTGATCCAATTTCATCCGCTGCAGCTAAATGTTTCTTCATTTGAGTGATAAAAAGCAGCACAGAGAGAGAAGCCTTTCCAAGTGATGAAATCTTATAATTACACCGCTTAGTTGAACACTTGATTCTGATTGGTCGATTATGACATTCTGGAGGTCTGTTATTTTGACTGTTGCCTCGGAGGATCAAGGGACTATGTGCAGTCATATCAATCCGCAGAAAGAGGTCCCGGCAGTTTAACGTCAGCGGTGGACAGCAAGCGATCCGTTTTTTTCAGTCAGAAAACGGAGTTTCCTTCTTACCCAGGTTTTGGTCTCTATGCCCAGGTGCACCAGTATGGTGAATAAAGCCAGGGAGGTGATGGGAGTTCCCCACGTAAACAAATCCACATCAGAGTCAGCGTAGGCCTGAGGAGGAGGAGGAGGAGGAGGAGGGATGAGTCAGTCCAAGCAGATAAACAATCTGAAGTAAAGTTATGGATTTATAAGGAAAATTATGAAAATTAGACTCACAAAGTAGGGGATGAAGAAGCAGACCAGACTCTGATAGAAGGCATCGATCATATTCATCCAGAACATATATGGCTTGTATTCCTGTCACAATAAAACAATAAAATGTAAAACAGAAACTAACTGTGAACGACATTATATTCATACCCAGGTTATATAGATCTATAGCATGATAACAACAACCATTTAAATACTGCAACACACCGGATGAGAAACACTTCTTCCTTTCACCGTTAGCTTCTTTAAAAAGATATGCACTCTCTGCTTTAACCACAGATATTTTCAAAATAAAAGCGCACGGACCTCAGAGTTCTGCCCGTTGACGTAGAGCTGAGGTAGTTGTTGCAGAGTGTCTGCAGACACGTCTTTGTCCAGCGTGCCGGTGATGAGCTGAGGGAAGGCGGAGAACATGAGGTTGAAGAAGATCAGGTACCACTGATCGACCATGGCCGACCCGGAGAACCCGCAGTAGAACTGATACCAGAAGATCAGCGCCACGAACATCTGGGGACAAAACATAACGGAGGGAAATCAATTATTCACTTTTTTTTGGTTTACATTTTTATTGCCACTTTGAATCTCAAGCCAAAGACATTTAGAAATGTGTTTTTCCCTAAAAAAGAAAATATACAATAAAAATAATTAGCAGATAACATACAATATTAATGTAAAACAATTAATTCTGTATATTCTTATATGATGCACTCAATAGACACTCTTTTTTATTGGTTAATATGTGTATATTTACTGTTAATGTTTTTTTTTTTTTTTTATTACATTTTATTTTTTATAATTTTCATTTTAAGAAGATATGTATAAATATCAATCCACAATTTTGTTTATTTATTTACAGTATTTTATACTAATTCTTTTATATGTTTCACTCATGAGTTGTGGCTTGTTGACATGCTGCTGTAACAAAACAATCTCTTCAAAGCAAGGTTTTTTTTAGCCACTGTTTTTGGGGGTTTATCCAGAAGACAGAAGAAGTATGTTTAGCTAGAAGATCATTTGTTTTAATTTTTTCTTGGTGTTATTAAGAGTTTTGGACTGTCTGGTAGTTTAACTGAAACTATCTTATTCACATATTTGTATTAAAGTGCACCTATCATGCTATTTTTAGGCAATAGCATAGGTCTCAGATATATAAATATATATTAAAAACATGTCTATGAAGTGTTTTGCTCAAAATACCAAACAGATCACCCATTCTAGCCATGCCTCATATCCCTCTATTTCACTTCCTGTTTCAAAAGTGCTGATCTGCCGTGATGAAACGCCATATCATGGATTATCAAGGATTATTTCTGAAACAGTATGGAGCTCAAAGGCTTTCTCTCTTGCCGGTTATACCACAAGGTGAGTTCCTTTTTATTCCCTGCTTCTTCACACACATGCTCTCCAGTACAGGTTAGCTCTGAGTGTTAGCGATGCTAATGTAAACACCGACCATATTGCGTCCAAAACAGTCGGGCATTGTTTCTGATCGCAACGTTTCTGATAGGGCCGTGGGTCCACATTTCAGATATTACGTCATATCGGACGCAAATCTGGATCAGCTCCGTTTTTAGAGATTTGGGTACGGAGGAAAAGAGAGAGGGTTTTATTTCCTGACGCTGCGTGATTTCCCTCACACACCGGGGACACATATTTATGTATAAAGGACATCATAAAGTGCATTTTGCATGATAGGTCCCCTTTAAGGGACATTAGTGTCTGCAGGGATGCTGAGAGGAGTGTTTTTGTGCAGCAGTTAAAGCGTCTCACAGCGTTCTTGTAGAAGAAGTAGAGGATCATGTTGGCGAGGCGGGAGTAGCACCAGTGTCCGTGAACCAGCAGCAGCTTCTGCAGGTACCGGAACCGAGGAAGAGCAAAGTCACTCGCCATCACCGCCTGCAGGAAAACACAGAGACAGTTAGTGATTAGAAAGCAAAAGCTTCACTACACTCAAGCTAACCCCAGTGGAGGCTTGAAGCAAAGTTACAGCAGCATGGAGATGGTCATAATCGTGCAGGATTGTGTGTATTTATTGAGAACACATGTAGTTCATATCTATTTTTTTGGAAGATTGCAAGGAATAGTTTAAAATAATTTATGGAAATATTTAGATAAATCAAAAGGTGTAATATAAGATGTTAATATATTACAGTTTAATTCCACTATTAATTGAGCTAACTTATTGGTTAGCTGTCGGGCTTTGTTGTGATTAGTCAACTGCTTAGAGATGTCAGGACATCAGGAGGACACGTCCCCTCCTGACCCAGAAAGCGACGCAACTTCTGGTCCAGGTTCTCGTCATCTCACGCCTAGACTACTGCAACTCCCTCCTGGCTGGTCTACCTGCATGTGCCATCCGACCTCTGCAGCTCATCCAGAATGCAGCGGCTCGTCTGGTCCTCAACCTTCCTAAATTCTCCCACACCACCCCGCTCCTCCGCTCCCTTCACTGGCTTCCAGTAACTGCTAGAATCCACTTCAAGACACTGGTACTAGCGTACCATGCTGTGAATGGATCTGGCCCTTCCTACATCCAGGACATGGTTAAACCATACACCCCAGCACGTGCACTCCGCTCTGCATCAGCCAAACGGCTCGCTGCACCCGCACTGCGAGGGGGACCCAAGTTCCCATCAGCAAAAACACGTGGGTTTGTTATCCTGGCTCCAAAATGGTGGAATGAGCTCCCCATTGACATCAGGACAGCAGAAAGCTTCCACATCTTCCGGCGCAGACTGAAAACTCATCTCTTTCGACTCCACTTCGAACCCTAACCCTAAAATTACTAACAAAGCACTTATATACTAACAAAGGACTGGCTTATCTAAAGCTAGTTGAGTAGCACTTGAAATGTTTTGGCTCTATGAAACCTGATGTACTTATATGATTCTGTTTTCTTCAAGTTTGTATCTTGTTGGTCGAATGCACTTATTGTAAGTCGCTTTGGATAAAAGCGTCAGCTAAATGCAATGTAATGTCCCGCCCCTTGGCCTGTCACGTACAATGTGTTGGAGCGCTAGCCAATAGAAGCGGTAGTGTTACATAGTGTTGTCCATATGTTTCGGAGGTAACACAGGGATTTTAGCCTTTGCAGCCCATTTACATGCACAGAAACCTATAGAACGCACTACAGGAAAGAGGAAGCAACAAAAGGCATAGCAGGGGCTATATAATACGTTTTGATATATATAATGTATTAAAGTATTATCCCAGAAGCCCCTTTTATCTTCACTTGACTTAAATATATGAGCATGGTTTGCCTGGTGATTAGAAATGATTAATGTAGCGGAGTTTCAACAGATGTGCTGAACAGCAGTGAGCCTCTGCAGACTAATTGGGAATCTCCATCATGCTTTGCAGGATCGCCTCCCTGGACATTTATCCCCTTTTAACCATGCATCCTGCCTTAGCCCTGACCTCAGTGCAGGGACGAGCTGTGAGGAGTAACGCAGATGTACAGTGAGATGCTTCCTGACTCAGCAGCACACTGCTGTTAACTTAAGGGTGTGGTGTGTGTGTGTGTGTGTGTGTGGGCTGTAGCACACACACTTAAGAGTGATGGAAACACACTAATATGCTCCACTCCACGTCCTCCCCTTATCCCCTTATCTTCTATCCTGTTCCTCCTTTCACTCCTCTTATTATCTCCTTACCCTTCATTTCGAGGCACAATTAATATATTTTGTAATAGTTAGTATAAGAATTTAAGTTATACACACCACTGTATATATTGTAATACACCAATTTATTTGTACATATTTCTTTTTGTTATAACATTTAGTATAATGTGCACAATTCAGGTGAATTTCTTATGTTTGTATCAGACATTTTTAATTAATCTGCTTATTGCACTTTTTACATTTAATTTGTATTTTATTTCGTATCTTTTATTGCATGTTTTTACTTAACTTTTTATTTTATAATCAATCGTTTTTATGGAAATTTTTAATTAAACTTTCTCACGTTTATATTAATTTAAATTATCTTCTTTTTGCACATTTTAAATAAAATGTTTTAATTATTTTATTTGTTTATTGCCAATGTTTTACTAAACATTTGTATATCATTTTTATATCATAAAATTAAGAAATAGTTACGACCCAATTTCACCCCTTTATATACAAACACATCCTGATTTAACCCCCCCCCCCCTCTCTGTCCCCCCCTCCTCACCTGCATGCCCTCCTGTCCCGAGATGCCGACGCCCACATCCGCCACCTGGATCATGCTGACGTCGTTCGCCCCGTCACCTGAGATCAGTGAACAGAGAGAGAGAGAGTAACTACACACACTCGGGTACATTATTTGGTTTCCTCCACATTACTGCTAACACGGCAATGGCAGGAAAGCGCTGAGCGAGCAGAGAGAATCCTCCAGAGAGAGCGGAACGAACAGGAAACACGTTGAGAGTCACCCCGAAACCCCCGAGTCACCTTCATCATTCTGCTGCTTCATTAAAACTAAGAGTTAATTACTAAGGTGATCTAAAGTCACGCTGTGCAGACTCAGCGGTCACAGCGAGGGTGATATATGCCGTTAAAAACTTTGCAATATATACCTGGCAGCTAAATCCTCAGAACTGTTACAGGATGTGTATTTTGTAAAATGTGTAACTTTTTATTGTCATTTTTTTTTTTTTTTTATCTTAAGTACTTTTGTATGCTTAGGTAACATTAAGCTGTCTTTAAGTACATTTCCCCTCTGTGGGACTATAAGGTATTCTGATTCTGATGAAGGTGTTATGTCAGGCTTGGACCTTCTCAATATAACTATATAATAACTGTATGTTATTGAATTACAGTTTCCAGATTTAGAGAAGCTCCTCGTCTCCTCCGCAATTATTAGGGGAATGTCAGATTTATGAGAAAAAAAGTCTGAAATTTGAGAAAAAAGTCTGAATTCTGAGATGTTCTGCTTAAATCTGAATTAGAGAATATTAGAAAAAAGTTAGAAGTTTGAGATTTCAGAAAAAAATCTGAATTTCCAGAAAAAAATCTGTATTTTCAGAAAAATTGACCGAATTTTGATATTTTTGGAAAAAAAAAGTCAGGATTTGAAAATGTTACAGAAAAAGTCTGAATTCTGAGAAAAAAAAATTCCCCTCTGTGGGACGACAAGGTATTCTGATTCTGATGAAGGTGTTATGTCAGGCTTGGACCTTCTCAATATAACTATATAATAACTGTAAGTTATTGAATTACAGTTTCCAGATTTAGAGAAGCTCCTCGTCTCCTCCGCAATTATTAGTGGAGAGAGGAAGTACAAAGAGGCTGATTAGATTATAATCATCATTATAGAGGTTCGTGTGTTAGTTAAAGGTAGGGTAGGTACATTTGAGAAACCGGCTCGAGATACACTTTTTGTTATATTCCATGGAATGCTCTTAACATCCCGATAGCAATGAATATCTGAAGTGCTTTGACAAAAAATCCATAAAAAAATGTCATCTGTGGAAGCCGTAATACTGTAAAAAGCACGACCAATCATCTGAGCCGGCCCGGCTAAAATAACTGGATGGCCTACCTGCCTGTCAGCCTTCCATCTGTGCACAAACTTATCTCGTGCCCTCATTGGTCATGTGCGCGTTCGTGTGTGTTGGAGGAGGGGCTCTATAAGGAAGTGGCAGATTTTCTCCGGTTGTGTATTTTCAAATTCTAGCGATCTCGAGCTGGTTTCTCAAACTTACCTACCCCACCTTTAATGTAAAGAAAATTGTATGTGCGGTCATGTGCAAACGTATATATAGTTTGTTAATTGGGAAATTAATATATCCTGATAAGATATGAATTACTCCTAAAGACGTCATGAGATGATGACCTTTCGACATCTGGAACATGTCCAAGTTTAGGACATTACGTTACATGTCACTTGTTAGACGCTTTTATCCAAAGCGACTTACATACTCAATACTGTGGGCAATTCCCACAGGAGCAATTTGGGGTGAAGTGTCTTGCCCAGGGACACAACGACATGCTGACTGCAGTGGGGTTTGAACCTGTGCCCCCCTGATCCGAATACCAACGCACAACCCACTGCGCCACACGCCTCCTAGGACACCTGACAATGTTCGTGCGTTAAACACGGTTAGGGGAAATGTTAGTGTGTCATTTAGCGACCTATATCTGCTGTCTGTTTTGTTGTACTCATGGGGCCACTACACCATTTGACTGCTTGAGAGCAAAGGTAGTGTTTCCTCATTATTATTGTTTGTTGTACAACGAAATAATAATTGATCAACTATATCTGTGTTTGTGTTTTATTGATTCCTCTCTGTTTCATTCTTTCCTGTTGTGAGTGCTAAATTGCCACAACAAAGGTGTGTGTGATGAGTGTGTGCCTCTTTATGACATTATTAGTAAGGGATAACGCTAAGACAGGGGTGTCCAAACTATGCCCGCCGACCATTTTGAATCGGCCCTCAGCTAATTAAATAAGTATAATGGAATATGGCCCACAGATTAAACTTGAGCTTGTCTTATATTGTACTTCTTGAATATAAATGTTAAAATACATTACACAGTAGTATTCATGTGTTAATAAGAACACTTTTCAAATACATTCAGTCAATTAAAGTTGGAAACATTTTCTAACAAATCTTAGTTGATAAGAAAAAAGCCCAATGACTTATTTCCATAACAAGCTTGAAATACACCGTTCATATTTCTCCTTATTATAATCAATCTGAGGCTTCTGTTTTGAGGGATGAGCTGCCAACACTCACATCATTTACCTACTTTTGATTGATTTTGCTGACTTATAACTGAACTTATGAGGCAATATACCTCTAGTGAGTGTCCCAGCCCTTCGTATATTTGTCTGTATGTTGCCCTCGGAGAAAAAAGTTTGGCCACGCCTGCGCTAAGAAAATAAAACTCTGTTACACGGCGCACCAACGGCTGGCTCTCCGACAACAATTTAAAATGAAGGCAGCTCTGATTTTATGTTTTCTGTGACTGCCCAAGTCTGTTCAGAGTTCCTTTCCACTAACAATTCCTTAAACACTACAGAGACCAAACCGTCTTTTTGTTGGTGTTTACTTCCTGTCTGTCTTCTTCTGGTGATTTATCTGACGTCCAGCGCACCCTCGTTTAACCTCTTTTCCTTTTGCTCTCTCTTGATCCTCCTTAGCAACGGTCATTATAGTGCTTAACAACGGCCTGTACTACTGTCACCTCTGAAATGTCCGAATTGACCAATCAGAATTGAGTATTCAACTAAGCCATGCTATACATCTTATTAAAGAGGCCTTTTCTGTTTTTTGGGGTTTTCAAAGGTCTGCAATGGCTAAAAGCCCTTTGTTCCCTCTAGAGGCAGTTTTGTTGTCTGTGTTGTTGTTTATACATTGTATGTATATTCTGTACATGTTGTGACAATAAATCTAATCTAACCTAATTTTATAAACACAGGAAAACCAGATTGACATTCAAGAGAAATAGGACACTGGTCACTTATTTTTTGTATCTGTTCCTGATTCTGTTTCTACAAACTCTCAAACCAGAGTTGGTGAAGTTTGTAAATGTATGAATAATATCAGCTGCAGGTTATTTATTCGTCAGTAGCAGTTTATTTAATGATGAATTCTTTGTTTCTTCGCCAGAGCAGCGAGTACATGAAGTACCTTATGACTCGGAGGATAAATCTGAGGGGAATGTTAAAGCCCTGCCAACAGGTGAAATCAAAGAGCAATATTTCACTAACAGCCTCTTTTAGTCAGAAAAACACTTCTGAAGTTCCAGAAAAAATATTATTAAATACCTTTGCAGCTCTCTGTAACGCCTCAAACACATGAGAAATCACCAGGAGCAGAAATAAAACATCCGTTTCACTTATTTCATGAAAAAGTATTAGCTCTAAAGTTTAAGCTTAGCATCGGGAAAATATTAGATAAACATCCTGATGGTTGGATTTCCACTGGTAGCTACAACATTTCGGGATTTCAAAATTTGAAGAAAAAGTCAACGTTTTGAAAACAAAATCAGAATTCAGAGATTTTCATTAAAAAGTCAGAATTGGTGTTCTGGTCTCAAAATGTCAGATTTATGAGAAAAAAGTCTGAAATTTGAGAAAAAAGTCTGAATTCTGAGATGTTCTGCTTAAGTCTGAATTTAGAGAATATTAGAAAAAAGTTAGAAGTTTGAGATTTCAGAAAAAAATCTGAATTTCCAGAAAAAAAATCTGGATTTTCAGAAAAATTGACCGAATTTTGATATTTTTGGGGAAAAAAGTCAGGATTTGAAAATGTTACAGAAAAAGTCAGAATTCTGAGAAAAAAATATTCTGAGATTTTTACCAAAAAGTCAGAATTTCGAAAGCTGAGACAGAAAGGGGCGTGGATTTTAAACCTGAACGTACCGATGGCGAGGGTCATGACCTTCAGTTTGTTGCGCACCAGTTTGACCACCATGCTCTTCTGCAGCGGCGTGGAGCGGCAGCAGAGCACCGCGCGGCAGCTCTGAGCCACGGCCAGGAACTTCTCCTCCAGACTCTGATCCAGAGCGTAGGCCAGCGTGCGGCCGTCGATCACCAGGCCGATCTGGTGCACCACGGGGGGGGCGGGTGGGCAGGAGGGAGGAGGGGGGGTGAAGATCCCAAAGGGGGAGACGTTGCTGTGGAAAGATTTGGTGGTGGTGTGATCTGAGGAGCTGCAGAGGAATTTGGCCTGGATGTAGTGAAGACTCTCGTCCAGCAGCAGAGCACACGCCTCCTGTTCAGAAACACAGCGGCTAGTCAGGTAAACTGAGCAACATCTGGCACACAGATGTGAAGCTGCTCAGAATTAACATCGTCCTCAAATGGCCTCTTTAAAAATGTGTTTCCGAGACGAGAAACTCAATATTATTGTGAGTGAATGTCTCACCAAGAGGGAGATGAAATCGTTGATACTATTTTCATGACTGTAAAGTAGATATTTAATCTTCTTGTTGTGATTTTTTTGTCATACTCTGTAAAGCACTTTGGGCTATGTCAAGCATGAAAGGTGCTGTATAAATGCTGATACAGATACAGTGGAGCTGAGAGCTAAATGCTAACGTCAGAATGCTAACGTATTGGTGTTTTTTTTTCTGTTTTTCAGTTTTATTGTGTATTGCTCCTCCCTCCCACCTGAGAGTCGGCGTTGAGCGTCAGGATCTCCTCCTCGGGGTCGAGCAGTTTGCAGGCGTAGGCGATGTTGACGGCAGTTTCCTGTTTGTCTCCCGTCAGAACCCAGATCTGAAGACCCGCCTGCCGCAGCGACGCGATGGTTTCAGCGACGCCGTCCTGCAGCCGGTCCTCGATGCCCGTCGCTCCTGAGGAGGAGAAAGAAAACGGTGATACAAACTCTAACATCCTTAACAGCAGGAGGAAAATTAGACTGAGTATTGGAGGTATAACTGTCAAGTGGGAACTAAGTTTTTTTTTTTTGTGTACGTTTTTGTGTTTCTCTTATTTTCCTACAGTACTGTTATGATTGGCTGTGAATAAGAAAATATGAAGGACATACCATCTAGTTCTATTTTTTTTTGAGAAAGGGGCAGGTCATATAAGATTATTTTCTTCTCCCTGCTCCTTTTCGGGTATGGTGTGTTTAAAGAGACATGTTTTGTAAATAATTGTTATACATTAAGTTGTGCATACCATGAACGGAACAAATACAAATTAAATGAAATTGAAGGTAAAAAAAACTAACAAAAAATATGATTAACTGACAGTAACGTGGTTAATTTATGAGAAAGAAACTCCCAAATTAATGAGGATTTTTAAATATTCTCTGAGAACGAATAAAGTATTACATGTACAGCACTTGGGCTCGACCAAAATTCGTTTTTAAATGTGCTCTATAAATAAAACTTGATTTGATTTGATTCTAAATTATGAAATCACAAATTTACAAGTAACAATGTGAATGCCATATGAGATTAAAGTGTGAAATTCACGTTAAAAATACATACTCTGTTAGATTAAAGGGGTAAATTAGCAAGGAAACATCTCAGATATTCTTCAAAATTTGAGAAATTAAATGTGTGATTTAGAATACAAGGTTTTTCCGATTTTTGGAGAATGTCTGAGTTTTCTCTCCCAAATTAAGACTTTTTCCCTGACTCCATTAACGCCATAATAATTTTTTTACCAACAGTTTCCCTACTATGCTTTCATAGCCAAAAATAATAATGTATTCATGTAATTAAAACATAGATAATTAAGGTATTTTTGGGATAAATCCATGAATTACCCAGCAGCTGCAGGTTGGTCTCCAGACGCAGCGCCGACTCAAATAGCAGTTCCTCTCGACCCTGGATCGCCGTCTCCGCCTCAAGGTGGCGCTGCAGCCAGCATGCATATTGCTCCTTACTCATGACCTGACACACAAACAAACACACACACACACACAATCACACACACATAATCACACAAGCACACAGGGTTATAATGAGCGCTTCTGGTGAGAGCATATATCAACAGCCTGGGAAAGTGGCACAGATTGCGATTGAGTCACGGAGAATGACTCTGAGCTGGGCTGCAAACACGGAAATGTCCAAAAAACCTCCAAAAACTGGAGAATTATCATTTTTATTTTTAAACAAAGCAAGGGGAATTATTGTGATGACATTATGAGAAGATATCCTAACCCAGGGGTCGGCAAGTAAGTTTGGCCTTGGGCCAAAACATTTCTGAGCCACTGGATGGCGGGCCAGAACATAATCAAAGGCTAATTTAAGACATTGATTGTTAAAATCGCTGCAGTTATTATCCAGTGGAATGCCCTTACCTACTGGCCTAGTTAAATCAAAGTGGTTCATTTTGTTTGGCTTGGCAGTGTTTTACACACCGTCTTATTTGACTTTCTCAGGACTTAAAACTGTTTTTGGGGGCAGACCTCCACAAAGAAAAATAAATATATACACACGAACATAATGAAAGGCTAATTTAAGTCATTGATTGTTAAAATCGCTGCAGTTATTATCCAGTGGAATGCCCTTACCTACTGGCGTAGTTAAATCAAAGTGGTTCATTTTTTTTGGCTGGGCAGTGTAGTTTTACACACCGTCTTATTTGACTTTCTCAGGACTTAAAACTGTTTTTGGGGGCAGACCTCCACAAAGAAAAATAAATATATACACACGTAAGGTCATCATCTTAACAGTTTTTTATGCTCATCGAGTCATCCGTGAGCAGAGCATCAAGTTGGCATGCCTATAACAGCTGAATGCGGCGATTACCATCTTGTTCAGCAAGACGCCTCACAAACTGATTAAGATCAACAGCTTTAGTGCGTTTTGATTCAATGCTGAGTACAGCCAAACTTGACAGTCTCTTCTCTGTCACCGTCTCGTTCAAATCAAATCGCCGCCAATCACATTTCCACGCTCACGCCAGGGCCGGGGGAGGGGTTACAAGGATCGAGTCTTGTGCTGCATTCACTTGCACTCGGACATTAGGGATTTTCTCTCATAAATGTCCGATGAGCCAAAACTTTTCTTTCAAAACAAAGCTAATTTTCCGGGCCAAATATTATTGCATATTAAACAGGCGGCCGACCCATGCCCTAACCCTTTTAATATATTAGCGTTCTTAATTAAGCTTTAATCAAACTCTTTATCTGTTTTATTCTTTATTATAACTTTTCTTTATCCCCTCTTAATTTGGAAATTAACTCTGTGAATTTATTTTCTATTTATTTGTTTAATAAATATTATTTAGGCTGTTAATTTTTTAAATTTCTATTACATGTTCACAAATTTACAAGTAACAATGTGAATGCCATAGGAGATTAAAGTGTGAAATTCACGTTAAAAATACATACTCTGTTAGATTAAAGGGGTCAATTAGCAAGGAGCTTTTATCCAAAGCGTATATACTCAAGTGTCAACAACGACATGCTGACTGCAGTGGGGTTTGAACCTGTGCTCCCGTGATCCCAACACCAACGCACTATTCCGCTGCGCCACACGACTCCCTATTATTATTTAATTAATTTCTAATGTATTAGTTTAATAATTATTTGGGCATTTCTTATTTTTCTGCTTAATCTTTTTTTAGAAATGGGTTAAATTGTATCTTTATATACAAAATTAAAGGTTTTAAAGCAAGGCATGTTTCTTTGTTTTGTTTATTTATATATAAATTAGCCTATATTTTGAACGACGTATATGAAGAGTTGCATCAACAACAAATAAAAGACTCATTCAAACACCATGTGTGTCTTGTCACGTGTTACCTTCTTAGCAATGCACAGCGTCCTCAGGCCGTCGGCAGCGTACAGGTTCAGGAAGTACTGGGTTCGGCTGAAAATCTTTTTCTGCCGTTTCCCTTTGGAGTTCGCTTAAAAAACAGCAAAAGAAAGAAGAATTAACATTAACTTCCTCTCAAAGAGCCATCTGCCGTCACATCTACATTTAACCCTGTATGCTGCACCTTTATATATTTCATACCAAATGTTCATATTACTCATCATGTACAATTTGATTAAAAAAGAATTCTGTAAAATATTCTTATTTACTGTCTGTCTATTAATTTATTGACTACAAAAGTTATATTTTAATATAACACATTATTTCATGTCTCTGGCATCTTACTGGCAGTAGGACAAACAGATTGGTTGGTTGGTCACACACACACACACACACACACACACACACAACACACACACACAACACACACACACACACACACACACACACACACACACACACACACACACACACACACACACACACACACACACACACACACACACACACACACACACCACACACACACACACACACACACACACACACACACACACACACACACACACACACACACACACACACACACACACACACACACACACACACACACACACACACACACACACACACACACACACACACACACACACACACACACACACACACACAAAATCTGAAGAATTAAAACACAAGAAGGATCATTTTATCAATCCTGAGAGATCAGTTGATCAGTAAAAAAATGACCGTACTGGCTAATCAAAAACTCTTAAACTCCTACGGTAAGCTATGCATATAACTGGTGGTGGTGTATCAAATCCTTCTAAGATAATGCTTTACCACATGCTATGCCTCTCTCACTTATCCCAGCAGACTGCCTGAGCGATCAGAAGTCTTGCAATAGCAGCAGACTGCCTGAGCGATCAGAAGTCTTGCAATAGCAGCAGACTTCCTGAGCGATCAGAAGTCTTGCAATAGCAGCAGACTTCCTGAGCGATCAGAAGTCTTGCAATAGCAGCAGACTGCCTGAGCGATCAGAAGTCTTGCAATAGCCAGCAGACTGCCTGAGCGATCAGAAGTCTTGCAATAGCAGCAGACTGCCTGAGCGATCAGAAGTCTTGCAATAGCCAGCAGACTGCCTGAGCGATCAGAAGTCTTGCAATAGCAGCAGACTTCCTGAGCGATCAGAAGTCTTGCAATAGCCAGCAGACTGCCTGAGCCATCAGAAGTCTTGCAATAGCAGCAGACTGCCTGAGCGATCAGAAGTCTTGCAATAGCCAGCAGACTGCCTGAGCGATCAGAAGTCTTGCAATAGCAGCAGACTTCCTGAGCGATCAGAAGTCTTGCAATAGCCAGCAGACTGCCTGAGCGATCAGAAGTCTTGCAATATCCAGCAGACTGCCTGAGCATCAGAAGTCTTGCAATAGCAGCAGACTGCCTGAGCGATCAGAAGTCTTGCAATAGCCAGCAGACTGCCTGAGCCATCAGAAGTCTTGCAATAGCCAGCAGACTGCCTGAGCATCAGAAGTCTTGCAATAGCAGCAGACTGCCTGAGCGATCAGAAGTCTTGCAATAGCAGCAGACTGCCTGAGCGATCAGAAGTCTTGCAATAGCAGCAGACTGCCTGAGCGATCAGAAGTCTTGCAATAGCAGCAGACTGCCTGAGCCATCAGAAGTCTTGCAATAGCCAGCAGACTGCCTGAGCATCAGAAGTCTTGCAATAGCAGCAAACTGCCTGAGCGATCAGAAGTCTTGCAATAGCAGCAGACTGCCTGAACGATCGGAAGTCTTGCAATAGCAGCAGACTGACCGGAGATTTCAACACCGCCAACATGAAGAAGGTCTTGCCAAAATATTTGGACAAAAACACATCAGCTGCCCGACGCGCGGGGGAAACATACTGGACCATGTTTATTCCCCTTTTCGAAATGGATATAAGGCTCTCCCTCGCCCTCCCTTCGGCAAATCAGACCACATCTCACTGCTGCTGCTGCCTGCTTACAAGCAGAAACTTAAAAGGGACAGACCGGTAACAAGGACAGTACAGCGATGGAGCGAGGAGTCAGATGCAGCACTGCTTTGCATCTACGGATTGGAGTGTGTTTGAGGACAATAACATCAACACACACACGGACACCGTCATCTGCTACATTGGGAAATGCATCGATGACGTGGTACCGAAGGTTTGTGTACGAACATTCCCAAATCAAAAGCCCTGGATAAACTGCGAGGTGCGCGGCAAGCTGAAAGCGCGCACTATCGCGCACAGAGCTGGAGATTTGGAGGAGTACAGGAAATCTAGGTATGATCTCCGGAGAGCAATTAACAATGCAAAGAGACTGTACAAAGAGAAGGTGGAATCTGACTTCAAAGGCTGTAACACCAGGAATATGTGGGCGGGACTAAGAACAATGACAGACTACAAAGGAGCAGCGGGGGGTGCTGCGGGAGTGTCTGCGTGCGCATCTCTCCCAGATGAGCTGAACAGTTTTTTTGCACGCTTTGAGAGCAGCCAGACTGTGGAGGTACAGAGGGACCAGGAGCTACACTGCCCTTTTGTTTTAAACGGGGCAGATGTGTGTAAATCTTTTAAAAGGGTTAACCCACACAAGGCTCCTGGACCTGATGGCATCCCTGGCCGTGTTCTCAGGGTGTGTGCAGTTCAGCTGGCAGAGGTGTTCACAGACATCTTCAACAGGTCCCTGTTTCAGTCTGTAGTCCCCACATGCTTCAAACACTCCACTATCGTTCCTGTCCCGAAAAAGACAATAATCACCTGCCCCAACGACTACCGCCCAGTAGCACTCACCTCCACCGTAATGAAGTGCTTTGAGCGGTTAGTCAAATCATTCATCACCTCCTCCCTCCCTGACTCTCTGGACCCCCCCGAAGAACAGGAACACATATGTGAGAATGCTGTTCATTGACTACAGTTCAGCATTCAATACCATTGTGCCCTCCAAGCTGGCCATCAAGCTCAGAGACTGGATCCTGAACTTCCTGACGGGCAGACCCCAGGCAGTGCGGGTGGGAAACATCACATCCTCCACCCTGATTCTCAACACCGGTGCCCCTCAAGGCTGCGTGCTCAGCCCTCTCCTCTACTCCCTGTTCACTCACGACTGTGTGGCTACACACAGCTCCAACACCATCGTGAAGTTTGCTGACGACACGACCGTCATCGGCCAGATCACAGACGATGACGAGACGGCGTACAGAGAGGAGGTCGAAAACCTGACATCTTGGTGCCAGGATAACAACCTCCATCTCAACATCAGCAAAACAAAGGAGCTGATTGTGGACTACAGGAAGCAGCAGGGAGAGGGACACGCCCCCATCGCCATCAATGGGACTACGGTGGAGAGAGTCAGCAGCTTCAGGTTCCTTGGGGTCCACATCACTGAGGACCTGACATGGACTCTTCACACCACCACCATCACCAAGAAAGCTCGACAGTGTCTCTTCTTCCTCCGCAGGCTGAGGAGGTTCAAAATGGATTCCAGGATACTCTGCAACTTCTACAGGTGCACGATAGAGAGTATCCTGACTGGCAGCATCACGACCTGGTATGGCAGCTGCACCGACCTCAATCGTAAGGCTTTACAGAGGGTGGTGAAAACTGCACAGCACATCACCAGGACGGAGCTGCCATCCATGGAGGACCTTTACTCCCAGCGGCTCAGGAAGAAATCACTACGGATTATCAAAGACCCCCATCACCCCAGCCACAAACTGTTCTTTCTGTTGCCGTCTGGCAGACGTTACCGCAGCATCCTGGCAAAGACAAGAAGATTCGGAGACAGTTGCTTCCCGCGGGCAGTGAGACTGTTAAACAATTGAACTGCTGAAACAACTTCAAAACATTCATCTGCTACTCAGTAATATGTATCTAATATCTAATATATATCATTCCAATAACTTGTATATAGACTCGTACTGCACTATTCCACATGCTCACTTTATTTTATAACTATTTTTCTTTTGTATTGCTCTTGCTATCTGTATTGTTATTATGTTGCATTGTTGGAGAAGCCTGTGACATAAGATTTTCAACAACATAATTACTCTGTAGCTATGTCAGTTTGACAATAAAGAACCTTGAAGACTGCCTGAGCGATCAGAAGTCTTGCAATAGCAGCAGACTGCCTGAGCCATCAGAAGTCTTGCTCCATGCAATAGTCAGTATCACAGGGAGCGCAGCTCACTCCATTCTATTTTCCTTCTCTCTCTCTCCGCTCACCTTATCCTATTTTCCTTCTCTCTCTGCTCACCCTATCCTATTTTCCTTCTCTCTCTCCGCTCACCCTATCCTATTTTCCTTCTCTCTCCGCTCACCCTATCCTATTTTCCTTCTCTCTCTGCTCACCCTATCCTATTTTCCTTCTCTCTCTCTGCTCACCCTATCCTATTTTCCTTCTCTCTCTCTGCTCACCCTATCCTATTTTCCTTCTCTCTCTGCTCACCCTATCCTATTTTCCTTCTCTCTCTGCTCACCCTATCCTATTTTCCTTCTCTCTCCGCTCACCCTATCCTATTTTCCTTCTCTCTCTGCTCACCCTATCCTATTTTCCTTCTCTCTCTGCTCACCCTATCCTATTTTCCTTCTCTCTCTCTGCTCACCCTATCCTATTTTCCTTCTCTCTCTGCTCACCCTATCCTATTTTCCTTCTCTCTCTGCTCACCCTATCCTATTTTCCTTCTCTCTCTGCTCACCCTATCCTATTTTCCTTCTCTCTCCACTCACCCTATCCTATTTTCCTTCTCTCTCCGCTCACCCTATCCTATTTTCCTTCTCTCTCTGCTCACCCTATCCTATTTTCCTTCTCTCTCCCCGCACATTCCTGTCTAACCCTTGCTTGCTTCCCAGTTTAGACTCGTCGCATCACGTAAGGTAAGTATCGGGGTCTAATCGCCAAAGACTTAACATTTATCATATGGCATGTGTCAATAAATGTTCTTTAAACAAAATGAAGTCTCTCCTGATTGAAATGAAGCTCAGCGCAAGTTCTTTTAGGAAGACTGGTATACATTCACTCCGCAGCTGCTTATAATCAGCTCATCACGGGCTTCCTGCTAACCTATTACATTCACCTCAATCTCAGCAGCCAATCACTGTGCTGCAGCCAAACTTTAAAATGGTTCTCCTCTCTCCTGCAGTCAGCTGTGATTCCAGGTGTTCATGCTGCCGACCACCTCCTCCCCATCCACCTCCTTTCATCACATCCAGTGCCAGGAGAGCTAACCCAAAGGCCTCATCACACCTCCTCTTCATCCCTTCTCCTCATCAAATCCAGATCTTCAGCATCATCACCAGTGTCTAGACCCCGGGGGGGGGGGTTCCCTATATGCTCACGGCTGCATCCCCCCTTTAGATATACGATTTCAGGATCGGGGTCTAATCGCCAAAGACTTAACATTTATCATATGGCATGTGTCAATAAATGTTCTTTAAACAAAATGAAGTCTCTCCTGATTGAAATAGTTTTCCGCCTCTGAAATATGAATGTCTGCTTCTTTCTCTGTGTTATATAATAACTGACACAACCAGACATCTAAACACATCAACTTGGACTTTCAGAAACTGGGATGGACATGTTTTACAATTTTCTGACATTTCTTCTCTGTGTTATTTCACATTAAAGTGAAGTGAAGTTGTTTTTCTTTGGTCTGAGGAAACAAGACATCTCTTTGGACTTTTAAAAACGTTCTATTTTACTATTATGAAAATGCTCATGAGTAACTGCCCCAGATTTAATCTTGCTCACTTTTATTATTCTTGTTGTTTTTAACAGTCTTTCTTAGCTGTAAAAAACTGAATTTCCAAGGAAGCAGGAGTTTTCCCTTCAGCAGAAAGCTGCAGATGACCGACAGACGCAGGTGGAACTGCACACAATGTTTATTTTTCCTGCAGCAGCAATAAAGGAAAATCCACCTTAAAAAGGATTTGTGTGCTTCATGTTAAAGGTTCCCTGAGGAGTTTTTGACCACTTTTAAAGATCAAGTTTGTATGTTGGGCTCCCTGTTTGCTCATATTTATTACTCCTCTGGTCATCAGGTGTAAAGAAACAAACTCATGTGCAGCACAAAAGGGCAAGTTTGCACGGATTTAAACAATGTAGGTGTCAAATGGGCGTTTTCTGCGAGGAAGGAAATTATTTCAGCTCGTTTGTTGGACTTCAAGGACACACACATTACATGTCACTTGTTAGACGCTTTTATCCAAAGCGACTTACATACTCAATACTGTGGGCAATCCCCACAGGAGCAATTTGGGGTGAAGTGTCTTGCCCAGGGACACAACGACATGCTGACTGCAGTGCGGTTTGAACCTGTGACCCCCTGATCCGAACACCAACTCACAACCCACTGCACCACACGCCTCCCTACACACAATGCGTCTTAAGGCCCTGACACACCAAGCAGTCACCAGAGAACTCGCCGACGCCGACTGTTGCGTCGCCGTGTTCTCCTGCGTCTTGGCCATGTGTCGCACTGGAACACACCGCAAAGACTTCAGCCGGCATGCGTGAGTGGCAATAACTCTCCTTAGCAGCAGGCGGCGGTAGTGTGTATTCGTCATTCAAAAGAGGCAACAACCGGAAGACAGAGAAGAAGAACAGACTACGTGATATAAACAAACAACAAATAGCGTGTGCGTTCCAATTTCACTCTCGTCCATCGAAAACATGTTTCGTGCGGTACTGGAGCTATCAGCCATTGGAGTGTTGCTTGTGGAAGACATTCTCAAGCAACCGTTTCGCTTCTCATGCACTGATTCGCTAGCTGAACAGCCAATCAGACGCACGGCCGATTCAATGCGTCGGCCATGAAAGGCCAAATAAGGCGTGTCACGGCCGACGGTGCGAGACACACCAAATTGAGTTTGGGCGACAGGGCACGCTTCGTCGTCCGACTAACGAAAACGGCCGATTTCGGCCTGGTGTGTCAGGGCCTCGAGTGAGGAACACTGAATGTAAACTTAAAGGGGCCATATTCTGCTCATTTTCAGGTTCATATCAGTATGTAGTGTTGACCAGCTGAGTGCGGCGGTGGAGGAGGAGATCCTGAAGTCCACGGGAAAACACATTTTAGATCTGAAAGTCGACCTCAGCTCTCCTCAGTTAAGGTGAGAGATGATTATTTAAGAATAGTGTAAAGAGGACATTCTGCTCATTTTCAGGTTCATATCAGTATGTAGTGTCTCTACTTTAAAGAGTCCTCTCCTGCTGATGTTCAGGTGTATATCAGTATGTAGTGTCTCTACTTTAAAGAGTCCTCTCCTGCTGATGTTCAGGTGTATATCAGTATGTAGTGTCTCTACTTTAAAGAGTCCTCTCCTGCTGATGTTCAGGTGTATATCAGTATGTAGTGTCTCTACTTTAAAGAGTGCTCTCCTGCTGATGTTCAGGTGTATATCAGTATGTAGTGTCTCTACTTTAAAGAGTCCTCTCCTGCTGATGTTCAGGTGTATATCAGTATGTAGTGTCTCTACTTTAAAGAGTCCTCTCCTGCTGATGTTCAGGTGTATATCAGTATGTAGTGTCTCTACTTTAAAGAGTCCTCTCCTGCTGATGTTCAGGTGTATATCAGTATGTAGTGTCTCTACTTTAAAGAGTCCTCTCCTGCTGATGTTCAGGTGTATATCAGTATGTAGTGTCTCTACTTTAAAGAGTCCTCTCCTGCTGATGTTCAGGTGTATATCAGTATGTAGTGTCTCTACTCTGACATGTCTCCATGCTTTAATGTTCAAAAAGCTCTTTATTTTTCTCATACTGCCTGTGCTGCAGCACCTCTTTTCACCCTCTGTCTGAAACCAGAGCCCAGTCTGCTCTATTGTGATTGGTCAACTGCTTTGAGATGTCCCACCCCTTAGCCTAACACCAATGTGTTGGAGCGCTAGCCAATAGAACTGAATTGTTTCATAGTGATGTCACTCTGTTCAGGAAGTAAATAAAGGAGTCCAATGGAGGCGTTTGTGGGCCATTTACATGAACAAACACCTATTTAACACACTACAAGGGGAAAACCCCCAAAAGCAGAATAGGGCCTCTTCATTATGAGTTAAAATGAAGAATATAAAAATATAAATTCTGTTTTAAGGTGGAACTTGCTGTTAAACATCACGTCTCTGCAGTAGGAGTGAGTCTGGAGTAACGTCATGACACTCGGCACCATGTGTGTTGTTATTAAAGTGAAACTGAGCCCCCCCCCCTCACTGTCGCCTGAATGGAGCCTTTATGGAGGTCTGTGTTATGAGGAGGCCCAACTCATACTGCGCTCTGATTGGCTGCTTTCACCCAATGGTAAAAACAAAGCAGGGTGTTGTCTCTCTGTGTGTAGACCTTTATATAGTATACGGTCTATGATGTGGACACACCCTGTCGGCCATTAAAGTTTCTGAAGTGAGACACATGGTGGAGGAGAGGGAGGGTGATATTTGATTTACAAGGATGACCCGCCCTATTCTGCCACTGATTGGCTGACAGCGGGAACAGTTTGTATTATGTTCTGATAGAGAGGTTTAGAAACAATCTCTGTGATAAATAATTTATTTGAACTCATTCCTGCACGACTCTATTGGAACGAATTCTACATTTCTGCTCAGGTGACATAATGTTGCCTGTTAATTCTACTCTGGTTCATGTTCACATTGACTTTTTATAAGTAAAACATGACATTAAATTATTTTTTTCCCGCCTGTTATCCTGTATCCTCACGGCCCGTGCGAGGAAATCAAATTCCTCTGATTTAGTACAAACACGTCAGCCATAATAAGTGTGTGTGTAAGTTTGCGTACATTCAGTTCTTACCCCAAAAACAAACCCAAAGTGTGGGTTCTTTTGCAAAAAGAAACAACACTTTTGCAGCTTCCACGGTAAGTGAATGGGGCCCATTGTCTTCGAATAATGAAAATAAACTTGTGCAACACCACAGACTGTGTGTGTGTGTGTGTGTGTGTGTGTGTGTGTGTGTGTGTGTGTGTGTGTGTGTGTGTGTGTGTGTGTGTGTGTGTGTGTGTGTGTGTGTGTGTGTGTGTGTGTGTGTGTGTGTGTGTGTGTGTGTGTGTGTGTGTCTACAGATGTGTGGTGGCTGTGTAGAGCATTAGTGAAAGTGCCTGTGTGGCTCTTTGTGCCTGGAATACTAACATTGAACCATTAAAGACTGGACGAGTGTGGAACAAGGTTTAAGATCAAGAGGAAAACACGCGACGTGGCAGGAAGTGAAGGCAGTGAAGCTTGTTCTAAAAATACAAGTCCTTACGTAACCTACATGTCAAATGGAGGGGTCGTACACCTTTTCCAAACAAATTCAAGCATCAAGAATCAGAATCAGAATCAGAAATCCATATTTGTATACAGTACATGTGGCATTAATAATCCAGTAAAATCCAACATAAGTGTTGAGAGATGAAGTTTATTTTTATGATGCCAATAATCAGACGTGTTGGAAAAGGTGAGAGTACAACGTTTTGGTATAAATATTGTCGTAAAACTGGAAATAAACAAAAACACCTGGCCTATTCTGTTTGTTTGTGGTTTTCCCTTTCCTGTAGTGTTGTATAGGTTTGGCTAAAAACCCTCCCCCCGTGACATAGTGACATAACTATGTAACACTTGCACTTCTATTGGCTAGCGCTCCAACACATTGTACATGATAGGCTAAGGGGCGGGACATCTCTAAGCGGTTGATCAATCAGAGCAGACTGGGCTCTGGTTTCAGACAGAGGGTGAAAAGAGGTGCTGCAGCACAGGCAGTATGAGAGAAATAAAGAGCTTTTTGAACATTAAAGCATGGAGACATGACACAGTAGAAGCACTAAATACTGATATGAACCTGAAAATGAGCAGAATATCTCCTCTTAAACCTATGTTCAAGGACAGGAACCTCTCAAAGATCAAGTCAACCCTTTGAACTTTGTCCGCTCCGGGACTTTAACCCGGCGACCCTGAGATTCCCTACAAACTGAGCTCCTTTGATTCGACGACGGTGATTTTCCTACCTGTGTCGGGGGGTCTGATGAGGTCCATGATGGCGGAGTCTGCTCCTTTCGTATAGACGGTGATCTGATCCGTCAGCGGGTGTCGGACCACCACCGACATGCGCTTCCTGTTGGAGTCGAAGCCCAGCGTGTGCAGCAGCTCGAAGCTCAGTTTCCCCAGGTGAGGCAGCTCCACGGTCACCTGGTCTGGGAGGCGCCCCACCAGGGAGCACTTGTAGGCGCGGGCGGCGTAAACCAGCGCCGCCTCGTCCGGAGACTCTGCCTCGTACCGCAGCTCGCCCTCCGCCGCGCTACACGCCTTCCCATCGTACTGCGGCGGCACGGGGCTGAAGGCGTGCTGCATGCTCTGCTCCTCGTCCAGTTTGGTGAGGGTGCTCTCGGCGGACGGAGAGGATAAAACGCTGGAGCAGCCACGGGTGGAGGAGCGGTTGGTGACCAGGCTGGAGGAGCTGCTGCTGTTGGAGCCCGAGGTCAGGCGGCTCGGGGTGAAGCGCTTTATGAAATCCTCGATGGTCTTCACCGGAGACTTCAGCTCGAACCTCATCCGCACCTGAGGATGATGAGAAATTAAAATGGTTTTTTTTCGATGAAGATTGTAAAGTATGTAAATGTTGCAATTCTGTAGGTTTGTTCTTATGTTGTCCAAATTATCCCAGAGGTGGAGTTTTTTTTTGCTAAACCTCTCTAAAAAGGTCAAATGTCACTTGTTTTGCATCAATCTTGATACAAAGTACTTATTATATGTTATAGTTTAGATTCCTAAAGCTTTTAGTCTACTATACCATCATTCAAGGGTGGTTTTCACTATAGGTAATGTTTTTTTTTTGGACGGACACTATAATTTACATTTTTTGACTATGTTCAATCTGAATTTACTTTCAAATGAAAAAAATTCTATATTGATTCTGACTTTTCTACATCCAACTCACAGGTTTATCATTGTTCTGGGAATGTCATTTTCGAGCCTGAGACCTGAAAAACAGGCTCAGTGCTTAACTGGTTAAGACCAGAAACTAAAATAAAAACATCACGTTTGGTTTCCCCAATTAATCTGTAATCAGTGTTATGTTATGATCTTCCAGTACAAATGTCAGCACTGATGAAAATGCAGCTTCTGTCTCGTTCTCTTTATCCCGAGGTGGGGCGGTACAATAGCAGGAGTGACTCACATTGGTTCTCACACAGATATAAATCATTCAGGAGCCGGGTCAGCCCCAAGGGCATCATAATAAAATGTAAACAATCACATTGGCCCAGAGGACACACAATACAAAGAGAAAGCAGACGGTATCAAAGCCAGTGATACTGTGCAAATGAACATTTCCTCACATCGTATCAGATAACCTCCAACAGAAACAAGTAATAATAAAACACAAGGTCTAATCTGGACACATTTGTGCCTCTGACTGTCGGCTGGAGAACAGTATGTGGTGAGGAGAGGATATCAGCTCTGTAAAGGACACACACACACACCTAGAGTGAAAAGAACACACACCTAGAGTGAAAAGAACACACACACACCAAGAGTGAAAAGAACACGCACCTAGAGTGAAAAGAACACACACCTAGAGTGAAAAGAACACACACACACACCTAGAGTGAAAAGAACACACACACACACACACCTAGAGTGAAAAGAACACACACACACACACACCTAGAGTGAAACACACACACACACCTAGAGTGAAACACACACACCGAGAGTGAAACACACACACCGAGAGTGAAACACACACACCGAGAGTGAAACACACACACACACACCGAGAGTGAAACACACACACACACACACACACACACACACACACACACACACACACACACACACACACACACACACACACACACACACACACACACACACACACACACACACACACACACACACACACACACACACACACACACACACACACACACACACACACACACACACTACCACACACACACACACACACACACACACACACACACACACACACACACACACACACACACACACACCAGAGCAGTGTGAGAACTGCACGATTTTGGGGGGTTTTCAACGTTTTTTTTTTTAGATATAATGTGCAGGAATTTTTTTTTTTTAAATGGACGCTCATGTTTGAAAAAGAAACAGGAAGAAAAATAATGGTTAGCTAAATCTTTGGAAATATGTATTGTTCTTAAATGTGGCTGGACAAGATTGACTGGAGTGTTCAATCAAATCTGATGTCTAAAAAAGGAGCTGACAAAATGAATGGAGAAAAAACGTTCCTAACTGTGGCGACTTTACGTCAACGTTAAGAAGTCCTATTCTGCTCTTTGGGGTCTGCCCTTTCCTGTAGTGTGTTATATATATGTTTGTGTGAAGAGGCTAAAATATATATATATATTTATTCCTTAACGGTAAAAAGGTTTACTTGTTTTATTGAGATAACGAGTGCTTGTTGGAGGACCGTACCTTCTGCCGGGGCTGGTTGGGGGAGGACACCACCACCGTGTTGCAGATGGTGAGAGCGATGAAGAAGTCGAGGACGTCTGCGAGGTCGGAGGGCAGCTGGGACATCGGCTGTTTGTGGAACCGCATGAAGTCCATCTGACTGCCGCACTCGTTCACTTTGTCCAGCAGCTGAGGGTCCGGTGTGATGTCCTTCTCCTGCAGGACGGGGGAGGCACAGAAAATCTTCAGTATTCACATAAAACAGTTAAAATAAGCAAAACAAAGTATGAATAATTATCTTATCGTACCACTTCGTATCATTCCGTTTTTTACCGTTTTGTATTGTATCGTAGCATTCTGTTTTGTATCGGTATCATTTGGTACCGTATTGTATCGTGTTGCATCATATCGCATGATATGGTTTTGTCTTTTCTCGTTGTATCTTATTAAATCTTATCATATGGTGTTGTGTCATATTGTATCATATTTGCACACTGAAGGCGGTGAGTTTGGACAGGTTGATGGCCCTCTGGTACGGTATTTTCAGGGTATTGTGTGGTATACTATAGTATGGTATAATATGGTATGGTTTGGTACTGACCATGGGGCTGCTGAAGGCGGTGAGTTTGGACAGGATGCTGGCCCTCTGGTACGGTATTTTCAGGGTATTGTGTGGTATGGTGGTATGGTATAATATATATAATATTGTATGGTATCATATGGTATCATATGGTATGGTATGGTACTGCTGAAGTCGGTAAGTTTGGACAGAATTCTGGCTCTGTTCTATGGTATGATATTGTATGGTATTATATGGTTTGGTACTGACCATGGGGCTGCTGAAGGCGGTGAGTTTGGACAGGATGATGGCCCTCTGGTACGGTATTTTCAGGGTATTGTGTGGTATGGTATGGTATGGTACGGTATGATATGGATCTGACCATGGGGCTGCTGAAGGCAGTGTGTTTTCACAGGATGCTGGCCCTCTTTTATGGTATGACATTTGAATCTGTATTTTTGAATATCGATCTTAAGTTGGCGTGACGTCAAAGTCGTGCGACCCTGCTGTACTCTTAATTATAAAAGTAGGGTAGACATGTGGAGATTATCCGGCTGAACAAAACGTGCATTTATCAAACAGGTTTGTTTTCCACAGATCTTGTTTTTTACAATATTCAAAAATCCTATGGAGGAATCCCATTGCTTTTTTGTCGAGGAAACCCTTGCGCACTTCCGGGTCGGCCTACAAAAATACGTCATCACTGCACCGCTCTATTGTATGGTATCATATGGTTTGGTACTGACCATGGGGCTGCTGAAGGCGGTGTGTTTGGACAGGATGCTCGCCCTCTTGGCCTCGGCCCGGCTGCCGGTCCTGCGGTGGGATTTGGTGCTTTGTGAGCGCAGGACCACCTTGGCGCTCTGATGGCTGCCCACACTGTCCCGCCGGGGGAGGGTCCCGCCGCGAGACGGGCACTCCTCCTCCTCAGAGTCCATCTCCTGGTACATGGCAAGTCTTTTGGCTGGGTAACACACAAACACATCGTTAAGAGTGACTTTATATCAATGAAATACTTTAAGTCGCCCACAAGGCCAGATTTTGTTTAGCTTAAAGGGGACCTATCATGCAAAATGCACTTTTGTACGTCTTTTATACATGAATGTGTCCCCGGTGTTCCAGGGAACTCACCAAGTGTCAGAAAACACAACCCTCTCTATTTTCCTCCATACCCAAATCTCTAAAAAAAGGGGCTGCAACGGATCTGATAAAAACTGATCCGGATTTGAACACTGTCCTGACGTCAGGACGGTGGCGCTACGGCTATTGGGCCAACTCCACCAATCAGGAGGAGACAGCCACGGCCATTGCCGTTCGAAAGCGCTGGAGACGCTGTAGTACATATGCCAGGCCAGTAGATGGTGCTGTTCTCACAGAATCTGCCCTTGCAAATCCAGAGCTAAAACATTTCAAATTGAGCAAAATGAGGCATGGCTAAAATGCATGATCTGTTTGGTATTTTGAGAAAAAAAAAGTATAAATATGCCTTATATAGGTATGGTCCTACACTATATTATTCAAATATAGCATGATAGGTCCACTTTACAATAGGAAGAGATAAATAGCCCTGCTGTGATGTCTTTTGTGTTATTATTTGTCTTTTGTTTTTTTGTCTATGGATAAGTCTGTCTGTTTTTCTGCGAGTGTTGTTCCTATGTTTATTAACCTGTAAAGTAAGGGAAATAAAAAGATAATTACAAACAAAATTATATATATAATATATTCTTTATGTCACTTAGACTAGACTAGTGCAATTAACTTGAGAAACTAAATAATATAGGTGTTTTTTTTCTCACCATTTGCATCATGGGAGTACTCCACCCCAGCGACGGTGCAGCGCCTGAACACCATCTTGTTCTCCGTCAGCGTGCCGGTCTTGTCGGAGAAGATGTACTGCATCTGTCCGAGGTCTTCGGTGATGTTCAGCGCTCGGCACTGCAGGTGGGAGTCGGTCTCCTCGTCGTACAGGTCCAGGTCCTGATGGATGAAGAACACCTGGCAGATCTTCACGATCTCAATCGACACGAACAGAGAGATGGGGATCAGCACCTGGGGGGGGGGGAGGGCAGAGTGAGAGACTTCTACAGGAGGTGCATGAGAGGAACATAAATTATTATAAATATTTTCACAAATAGCTAAAGATAATGCATTAACATACTTAATCATCATTTTTTTTTAAATAATGGATTTTTTTTCTATTTAAATATTGACCTCGAAAAATTGCTTTAAAATGCATGAACATTTTTAAATAATTTAATACAAAATTATGCATGCAGTATTAAATATTAGCTTACCATTTTTTTCAAATAGTTACAAAAAATTACCTTAAAAAGTATGGATATGTATTTTAATTAATTAGCTTAAAAATAAAAATAAATTGTTCACATAAAAAGCTAAAAATAATAAATAAACAGTTTTAATAATTAAAAAGATAATAATGGATAAACAGTTTAAATAACTAGCTTAAAAAAATTATAAAAACCTATTTAAATTAAATATCCTCAATGAGTAATGAATATATTTGTTTGTCTATAAACAGATTCAATAATGATGTTAAAAAGAATGGAACAATTGTTTAAATAATTAGCTTAAAGTAATGGACAAACAATTTAAATAAAAGACAAAAATAAATCCCATGAACAATTTAAATAATTTGATTAAAAATAAAACATTAAAAAGGGATTTTATTTGAATGAATAATTAAATAAGTATCTAAAGATATGGATAAACAGTCAAATAATTAGCTAAAGGAAAAGGAAAAACTACTTTAATAAAGAGCTTAAAATATCGCATAAGGACATTAAATAAATACGGGAAAGGATTATATTATAATAATGGTTAAATGGTTAAAATAGAAGGCGGCAAAAAAAGTTATAACCGTTTAAATAATGAAAGTGAAAAGTAAACACGTGAAGGAGTTTTCTGTATGTAATAAAAACAAATGAAATGACTGTCATGACCCGATGAATCATCAAATTGAGAACAAGCAGAAGCTCGTAAAACCTTTCTAGTCTTAAATAGAATAAATACATTCAAGCATGTTCAATGGGCGATGTCTATTTATCCTAAGGACCAATGGGAGAAATGTATATACGTGTAATTTGTGTATGTTTGGTGTCTTAAGAAATGTTGCTGAAATCCAGGGTGAGACATTTCCAGGCAACATTTCTGGAAAGTGGAAATGAGTCATGGCTTTTGGGAGGAAAGGCCCAGCCCCCACCAACACAGTCATGTGTTTATCTGGCAGTACTGCAAGTCACCCACCGCCAAAAATATCATGTTTGCAAAGTGAAACTGAACTGCTGTCTGTGTTGATTTCTGATTCGTTAAATTGACCAGGACTATCTGCAACATGTGACACAGGACAGGGTGACATTTCCACTGACGTTACTGCCTGAAAGCCAACAAAAACAAACAGATCAATAGCTGTCAATCTTCTTCTGCTGTTATAAAGATTATTTCTCAGCATGGAGTAAGTCCTCTCTGTTTTCCAGATTAAAAGTGACGATACAGATCTAGAGGTCGGTTGATCTTCAGTGTACGGCGGGATAAAACATTACAAACTTTAATATTTTATTATCTGCGCCTTTGCTCCCCTCTGCTGCGTACCTGGAAGACGATGATCATGGTGAGGAAGAGATAAACGGCCGTCATGACTGGTGATAAATCCGTCCCCTCTGGGCTGAGCACGTCAAACACCGGCCTCTTATCTCCGTACTGAAACATCCACAGCCCGTGACCTGCAACAGAAAACAGCACAAGGTCAACTCACATAAACACAGGAGAGAGGAGATATACAAATAAAAAAGGCACAGTAAACACAGTCAGAGGCACAATTTTATTTTGCAATCACAAATTGGCTTCCCACGTTTAAAGAGGACATCTCCTGCTGATGTTCAGGTGTATATCAGTATGTAGTGTCTCTACTTTAAAGAGTCCTCTCCTGCTGATGTTCAGGTGTATATCAGTATGTAGTGTCTCTACTTTAAAGAGTCCTCTCCTGCTGATGTGCAGGTGTATATCAGTATGTAGTGTCTCTACTTTAAAGAGTCCTCTCCTGCTGATGTTCAGGTGTATATCAGTATGTTGTGTCTCTACTTTAAAGAGTCCTCTCCTGCTGATGTTCAGGTGTATATCAGTATTTTGTGTCTCTACTTTAAAGAGTCCTCTCCTGCTGATGTTCAGGTGTATATCAGTATATAGTGTCTCTACTTTAAAGAGTCCTCTCCTGCTGATGTTCAGGTGTATATCAGTATGTAGTGTCTCTACTTTAAAGAGTCCTCTCCTGCTGATGTTCAGGTGTATATCAGTATGTAGTGTCTCTACTTTAAAGAGTCCTCTCCTGCTGATGTTTCAGGTGGTATATCAGTATGTAGTGTCTCTACTGTGACATGTCTCCATGCTTTAATGTTCAAAAAGCTCTTTATTTTCTCATACTGCCTGTGCTGCAGCACCTCTTTTCACCCTCTGTCTGAAACCAGAGCCCAGTCTGCTCTGATTGGTTAGCTGGCCGGTTCTGTTGTGATTGGTCAACCACTTATGCGGCTTTCACACCAGCGATTTTCCCTTTCTAGCTCCTAGCGAGAGCTTTTCTGGTTCAGCTCCGGTTTCCCTTTTCAGCTCCCGCTCTGTTCACACTGCCCAGAGCTGCCGCTGCTGCGTCATGACGTCACAGATTTTCTCCCACAACAACAACGGGCCGGGGACTGCGTCGGGTCGATGATCGTGTTGCTTTTAATCATACGAAGCCAGATTAAATTAAATAACGACTTCTCCAACCTTATACTTTTCTCCAGAGTGCCGTGGTTCATTGTTTATTAATGTGTTTCAGCGGCATTTACCGACCGCTGCAGTGCTGGCTGCTCTTCCACGAGTGTATTCTCCCGTTAGCTCCGGGTTAGCTCACACGGCTCTAAAGTATTCACTGTCTGACTGTCACACAAGCAGCTGATACATATCCCCAGTTCCCCTTAAGTGAATGTGTGTCAGTCTGAATTGACGCTGTTTGGCATCACAACGCTGTTATGAAAGTTTCTCTGGTATAACATGGGTGATGTTAGCATAGCAACCGAAGCTAAACTGACTACTTGCTAAGCCGTTTTCTACAGGCACATTTTACCGGCGTATTTTTCATTATGATTCTACTTGTGATAGTCGGACATTACAACCTGTGCAGCCCATGTATCTCCACAATGATCAATAACAGCGAACGGGTGGTCAAAGTAAGGTTTCCTGCACGCCTCGACGTAAGAGACGTAAGCGACGCCGCGTCATAGCTCCGAAGCTCTTGCCTCTGGACCGACAATTTTTTGGAGCTGGAAGTGAACCGCATTCCGGAGCTATGACGCGCCGCCGCTGCGGTGTAAACAGGAAAAACCGGCGCTTTTCCAGCTCCAGCTCCGAGCAGGAGCTGGAAAAGCGCCGGTGTGAAAGGGGCATTAGAGATGTCCCGCCCCTTAGCCTATCACGTACAATGTGTTGAAGCACTAGCCAATAGGAGCATCAGCGTTACATAGTGATGTCTCTATGTTCTGGAAGTAAACAAAGTCCAATTGAAAAATCCCACTGGCTTTTTGAGGAGGGAACCAGGGAGATGCTGCCTTCAGGGGTTTGAATAGTCATGGAAGGCGTTGGTATTTTCGTGCAGCCCTACTTAAAATATCTCTGGAGGGTTTCTTACCGATCGCAGTGAACAGGCACATGACCAGCAGGATGATGACGCACCAGAACACGTGCACGTTCATCTGACGCTCCAGTTTGCTGCGTTTGTATCGCGGCCCGTTGTTGTTAAGCATGGCTTTGGTTTCGTGACCTGTAGAGACAAATGGTTTGAGAGGTCGGAGGTCAAACAAGTAGAGAGACAGTCTGAGACGAGGTTACTCTGGGGGTGGAGCTGACCTGCGTAAATAATGATCCCCACGGCCTCCTCTGTGTTTCTGATGGTGCAGCCTCTCAGCAGCAGGTTCTCTTTGTAAAGTGCATCTCTCCGGCCACTGCGATGGACTCTGAGGAGGAAATACCAATACATTGATTTGGTTTAGGAATTTAAAAGCACAACAACTGGAAGAGTATCTTGACACAACAACCCCAGAGGGTAGCATTTAAAACAATTACTTAAAAGCAATTCTTTCCCAAGTAGTGCTTGGACTTGATGTAAAAACCAACACAATACATGGAAACAAACCAATTGATGGACACAAACAAGAAACTACAGCGTTACAGATTATTAATCTTGTCCCTAAGCTTCTGCCGTACTTCACACACATCTCAATTTCAATAATGATGTTATAAATAATGGAACAATTGTTTAAATAATTAGCTTAATGGACAGACAATTTATATATAGACAAAAATAAAGCCCATGAACAATTTAAATAATTAGATTAAAAATAAGTATCTTAAGATATGGATAAACAGTAAAAATAATTAGCCAAAGAAAATAAAAACTACTTTAATAAAGAGCTTAAAATATTGCATAAGCACATTAGGGCTAAAAGTTATAACAGTTTAAATAATGAAAGTGAAAAATAAACACGTGAAAGAGTTTGCTGTATGTAATAAAAACAAATCAAATGACTTTCATGACCCGATGAATCATCAAATTGAGAACAAGCATTCCTTGCAGAAGCTCTGCAGTCTGACACACACACACACACACACACACACACACACACACACACACACACACACACACACACACACACACACACACACACACACACACACACACACACACACACACACACACACACACACACACACACACACACACACACACACACACACACACACACACACACACACACACACACACACACACACACACACACACGGCTGAAATTACACTCAGTGACATTGGCCTTAATGTAATAAAACACTGCTGAGATAACTGCCCCCCCCCCCCCCCCTTTAACCCCGCTGCTGTGCCCTGTGCTCGGCTGCAACCTGGCAACATAAAACCTGCAGCATATGGTCTTCTTCTGAAGAAGTAAAATATAACTGTCAGGAACATGTGAGAACGGGTTAGCCCGACTGTAAGCCAAGAAGACGTTGTTTCGGGAGACATGGTGAAAAGTTCCCTTTGGATTAACCCAGCTCTCAAAACCTCTTTATAAACTCAAAACATGATGCCACCTACTGATAAACATGTCTAGAAATATTTTCAGGAAATGCAGTTTCTGGTTTTCTTGCAGAGGATTTGATATGAAGATAGATACAACTCTCATGTCTGTATGATTACAAGGCGACGGTGAGAACGCAGTTAGCTTAGCTTAGCATCAAGACTGAAATCAATGGGGAAGCAGCTAGCCTGGCTCTGTATGAAGGTAGCACAATCTGCTCACTTATTTACATGTTTCACCTTCTTTGTTTTAACCAAAGTGTAAAAAGGTAGCATTGTGGTCTTGTTGTCCCCATCAAGTTGTTAGGCAATGAAAGACAATTTAAAATAGTCGAAAAAGTGAACAAGTTTCACAAATAACTTAAAGGGGACCTATCATGCAAAATGCACTTTTGTACGTCTTTTATACATGAATATGTGTCCCCGGTGTTCCAGGGAACTCACCAAGTGTCAGAAAACACAACCCTCTCTATTTTCCTCCATACCCAAATCTCTAAAAAAGGGGCTGCAACGGATCTGATAAAAACTGATCCAGATTTGAACACTGTCCTGACGTCAGGACGGTGGCGCTACGGCTATTGGGCCAACTCCACCAATCAGGAGGAGACAGCCACGGCCATTGCCGTTCGAAAGCGCTGGAGACGCTGTAGTACATATGCCAGGCCTCTAGATGGTGCTGTTCTCACAGAATCAACCCTTGCAAAAACAGAGCTAACATTTTTCAAATTGAGCGAAATGAGGCATGACTAAAATGCATGATCTGTTTGGTATTTTGAAAAAAAAAAAGTATAAATATGCCTTATATAGGTATGGTCCTACACTATATTATTCAAATATAGCATGATAGGTCCACTTTAATTTCTCTAGATGTAAAAGTTCCAGCTCATACTAAGTGGTATCCAGGTTTGTAAAACGGTACTCAAGTAATTAGGCATTGCATTTTCTCACAGGAGACAGATAAAAACATAAAGCAACTTATGGCATCTTTCTTTCGTCCCACCTTGCATAGTTAAAGCCCTTTCAGTTACCATACGTCTAGTTTAAAATAGGCTTTCACTTCTCCATTTTGGTATATTAAGTTGAATGCTTCTAATCAATCTCCTTTGTGTACATGATTAAATTGCTACCACAGTTTAGTTGTTGCTTTGCTTTTCTCTCATAGACTTCTACGAACTACAGCTCCACTATATTCTGGTCACGATAAAGCACATACATCTATAGCGCGGTCAAAACGGGCAAACCACATCCCAAGAAGTCAAATCCTAATCCTGACTTGGAAAAACTTTAAGTCATAATTATAAGTTGGAGACTTTCTGGCTTCTGGTAAACAAACCACCGTTTCACATTATTTCCATTCTGGAGAATAAATCAGTCGACATTTACTCGTATTGACAGGGAAATTTAAATTAAAATGAAGCAGAGAGAGTTCTCACATGTAGCCTCTGAATCTGTTCAGGTCGTTGTTTGGTTTTTCACATTCAATGATGCCGTTGTACTTCAGGGGGTCGAAATCACAATCCTGAAAACAAAAAACAAACAGAACAGCTGCTAATTTCCAAACACCAAACAGATCATTGCAGCATCCCATAATCCCCTCTGTTTCTGCCCTGTTTCAAAAGTGCTGATTCTCCGTCTGTTACTTTAGATGAAAATAAGGAGCCACTCCCCACGCCCCTCTGAGAGATATTTGGTTAAAAAGAACACAATAGTGCTCTAGGAGGAGATTCAGGTGATAAGGTGGGGGGGGGTTACCTTGGTTGGTGAATGGCTAATGGTGACACAAGACAAAACATCGTTATGACATCATAAAGTGGCCAAAATCTGATCAGCTCATTTTCAGACAGGTTTTTATATAAATGGGTCAGGACAAAAAGAGAGGGGGTCTTTGTTCCTGAAACTTCCAGAATCTCTTTACACAGAGGGGACACATGGTGATGTAGAAAAGACATGAAAAGTGGATTTTGCATAATAGGTGACCTTTAAAGCTTCTGTATCTCCTACCAGTAGGCAAGAGAGAGAACAGTTTGTGACATGGGTTAATACAATTAATCAGGATTTCTCCCAGCACGGTTCTCTTATTTGATGGCTGTAAAGGGTCTCACCAGGTCCAGGAAGCTGCGCACCACATGCCTCTGCTTCAGGTTGGTCTCTCCGTCCAGCGTGGCCGTCTCGATGTGACAGAGGCGGTCCGGGTCGCTGGAGCTGAGCAGTAGGACGTCGGCGGGGAGGATCTCGTTACAGCGCAGCCGGATGAAGTCTCCCACCCTCACCTCCTTCCAGAACTTCTCCACGTAACGCCTCTCCACTCTGCAGGAACAATGAGAAAGATGTGGAGTCATTATTTCAATATCTGATGGTTTCTAAAAACAGCAACTTGTCATTATGTCACAGAAAATGTAATAACACAGCAGTACATTGGTAGCTTCCTGCTGTTTACAGTAAATCTCAATAGTTTCCTATATGTTTAGGTCCACAAAATCAATCAATTAATCAATGAGTATGTGTTGTCACGCTGGCATATTTTAAACAATGTCACTATTTTGAGGAACTTGCTGAACTCTTGACTTTTAACGGGAAAACAGTCATGACTGGAAATACTTCCATAAATGGTAACCGATGTTTCCTTTCTGAACATTGTGATATTCCTGTTAGCAGGTTATGATAAATAATGCATACACCAGAGCGACATACGGTAACGAATTGTGAGGAAAAACACTCATAATGTTATTTATTCATCACAACCTCGCTTCCCTGAAATTAATGACTCACTTCCGGATATATAAAAACATTCCTTCCCTTGAATGTTGTCACTGAAATGCATAAGGTGCATGAAAACACTGCATGCACTCGATCAGAACAAAATCTAAAAGACAACTGAAAACTACTTATAGCAATATTGATCTTTATTTAAAAGTATAGACTTTACAAAGTTAGAGCAAATCATTTTTAAATAACATTCCCCAGATTATAACGTTTGCTATAGAAGTAAAAGCAGTGTCAGTGCAATATGTGATGTGAACTTACTCCATGAGGTGGTTAATTTAATTGATTACACAGCTTTGTAGAATACTCGATGCTGATTGGTCGATTTGGACATTCTACAGGTCTGCTATTTTTCACAAACAGACCGTTGCTAAGGAGAGCAGACCGTTGCTAAGGAGGATCCAGGGACTATGTGCAGTCATATCAATCCGCAGGAAGAAGTGAAGTTTACAGAAAAAGCAGAAGAAGACAGACAGAAAGTAAACACTAAAGGGAACAGCAGAAGAAGACAAGACAGAAAGTAAACACTAAAGGGAACAGCAGAAGAAGACAGGACAGAAAGTAAACACTAAAGGGAACAGCAGAAGAAGACAGACAGGAAGTAAACACCAAAGGGAACAGCAGAAGAAGACAGACAGAAAGTAAACACTAAAGGGAACAGCAGAAGAAGACAGACAGGTTGTAAACACTAAAGGGAACAGCAGAAGAAGACAAGACAGAAAGTAAACACCAAAGGGAACAGCAGAAGAAGACAGACAGGAAGTAAACACCAAAGGGAACAGCAGAAGAAGACAGACAGGAAGTAAACACTAAAGGGAACAGCAGAAGAAGACAGACAGGAAGTAAACACTAAAAGGAACACGGTATCAGTTCCAGCCGTTGATACGCAGTGGAATGGAAAACATACAATCATTTTTAAATCAATGAAATAATTTATTATCAATATTATAAGTCAAGGTGTAGGTTTATTTAGTATGTGGCCATGTAATAAGCTTACATATTACACTTATTTTAGGTAGGTAGTACACCAACTTTGGAGAGAAAACCTCAAACAACCCTGCTTCAAAACATCCAAACGTTATCTTGCTGTTGTCTATCTCAGCTCATACATTCCTACCTAACTGGGTAATTGATTAGTTTGTGTGGGCCATATTTACTGTGGTAGTTTTAAAGGCATGCACTAAGAATGTAAGATAGATTCCTGCAGCATTGAAGGACAAACATCTGACTGCCAGTAGACTGCAGAAATAGTTAACTTATCATGTACTTGTTTGCTTCCAAGAATAGTTTTCTGTGTTGTTATGTAAATGTAGAAAAACAAACTGAATCGTACTTTTGCGTTTCTTTAAAGAGCAAATTGTTGTGGCTTTTTGGCAGTAAGAAGAGTGCTCTGGTTATTTCCAATAAAGTATTTATAGATACACATCTTGGTATGTTATGCTTACACAGGACTTTGTACATTTAATAAAGTGTGAAGTCAAAGATAACAGAAACCACATGCATCTAAGTGTATAAAATGTCAATTCAACCGTGCAGGTTTGCTAACTTATTTTCAATTTAGTTGTTGGGGATTATTTGTAGGGGAAAATACCACTATAAATCTTGTTTTTATTAAAGATCGGCTCATTAAATGTATGGGATTAAGTCATTCAGTGTGAAAAAAACTAATTAGTAAGTCTAATTGACAACATCAATCTTAGTGGACTATGACCAAAATAACAAACACATAATTGAAGAGGACAAAAACAACAAGAGAGTTAAACATTTAAAGGGGACCTATCATGCAAAATGCACTTTTTGATGTCCTTTATACATCAATATGTGTCCCCGGTGTGTCAGGGAACTCATGCAGCGTCTGAAAATAAAACCCTCTCTCTTTTCCTCCATACCCAAATCTCTAAAAACGGGGCTACAACGGAGCTGATCCAGATTTGCGTCCGATATGACGTAATATCTGAAATGTGGACCCACGGCACTATCAGAAAGTTGCTATCAGAAACAATGCCCGACTGTTTTGGACGTAATATGGTCGGTGCATGTTTACATTAGCATCGCTAACACTCAGAGCTAACCTGTACTGGAGAGCATGTGTGTGAAGAAGCAGGAAATAAAAAAGGAACTCACCTTGTGGTATAACCGGCAAGAGAGAAAGCCTTTGAGCTCCATACTGTTTCAGAAATAATCCATGATCTGGCGTTTCATCACGGCAGTATTTAGTTTAGACAGTAGCTGCCGGGTCCCGCATGAGCTCAGCCTCCTCCTTTTTTATTTGATCAATTTTTTTTTTTTTTTTTTAAGCTTTATACCCAAAATCAGCACTTTTGAAACAGGAAGTGAAATAGAGGGATATGAGGCATGGCTAGAATGGGTGATCTGTTTGGTATTTTGAGCAAAACACTTCATAGACATGTTTTTTATATTTTTTTATATATCTGAGACCTATGCTATTGCCTAAAAATAGCATGATAGGTGACCTTTGAAACTAGCTGAAACAGAATAAGACTGGTATAACGTACAGTGTTTCCCCTACCATTGTCTTGGAGGGGCGCTGCGCCCCGCCAACGGAGCCCCGCGCCCCCCCCTGAAATTCAAGGTGTTTAAAAAAAGATAAAAAACATTTTTTTTATATATATATATATATATATATTCTAATTAATCTATATCTACTGTCACTTTTCACATTGAACATGTGCTCTTTTATTAAATAAACTAAACGCTTTCATTTTAAGTTGTGAGTTTAGTGTTTTTGACCCTAAGAAACACTGATGCATTAATCAATAATCCACAGCTCCTCTCTCTGCTCCAGAGGATTTAAAAAAAAAAATATCCCAATGCCACCCCCCCCCCAACATTTCTATAGTAGTTTACTGCTTATAATGAAAAAATGATTGACAAAAATATCTTTAAAACGTAAATAATATCACAGAAAATGTCTAAAAATATAATAATTAAAACAAATGTTAAATATGTCATGAAAAGGTGTTGTAAATGATAAGATTGTTTTTAAAAAGTCATAATATTCTCACGTATACTTAATCTGATATATAATCTATATTATAAAAAGTGTCTAAAAAGTATTTATAATCCCAAAAATTGTCACTAAAATGTCTTGAATGACAGAAAATGTCACAAAAAATGTCAATAAAATATCAGAAATTTCTCTGCAGATATCGTTTACATTTTACCTTTACAAAATATTGGGCTCATTAAATATCGCACTAGTCCATATTGCGATTTTTCTCAAATTTCAATTCATTGTGCAACCCTAACCTTCACCCAGACCGTCTTGGCGTGTCAAAGCAGAGGGAGGATTTGATTTGATTTTTTATCAAAAATGGCTAAGACTTACAAACAGTGCTGATTGATGTCTCTTCCCTTTTTATCATGACTGATTTCCTCCTAAATGTAGATTACAAAAATGCAGACACACCCTGTTAAATCACTGGAATGTAAATATTTAGCAGCTCAGATTAAAGGGGTATTCTTAGTGTTTTTAGGTGTGTTTGTATAAGGTACTACTCCACAGTCTGTGAATAACTTAAGCAAATGCAGTTGGTAGACACTTGGAAAAACTTGAATATATCGTGAAATTATGATATGAGAATACATTTGGTCTTTTCGGATGTTTAAATATCTTAGGTCTTTTTTCAAATGGTGCAGCTTAAAGGAGAGGTGTCATGGCCATTTCCACTGATCATAATTCCATTGTTGAGGTATACTAAAATAGATTTATACTGTGCATTTTTCCAAACTCACATTGGTTGCTCATACAGCATCTCTGTAAACTACTTGTATTCACTGAATTTCACTCTCTGCCTTTAACGGCTCGTTGTAGCTCCAAAAGCTCCAGCCCCCACCCTCCCTGTGAGCACAGTGTGCTCTGATTGGTCGGGACGTTGTGAATCGCGCTGAGCTCCGTGGAGGTGTTGTTTCCTTGTTTAGGATACATAGCGAAACACAGCCAAACTCATCCTGAGCACACACAAAGTCACAGCCGAAGTAAAAACAATAAGTGTGGCTTGATATTGAGTAAGAAAAAGGTTGATAAACGCTGTGAGAATGGGTCTGCAGAGAGAATTTCGCCGCGATCCCAACTGTCTGTTATCAGCCTGCAGCCAGGGAGGAGAAATCAGCTGAGCTGCCTGCTCCCTGCACCCAGATGTGTGTGTGAGGAAGTCCGTGGATTGGTCATATTGGACGTAACGTAACGGCTCAACGGATTGGTCCATTTCGTTCCGGGTACGGGATGACATCATGCCGTACCCGGAAGAATCAAATGGACAATGACGTATCTCCAACGAGGCGTTTTGGCTGTGTTAGAGTTTTACTCGCTATAGGGTGTGCTTTGAGGGTTTTGACTCTGCACACCGTTTACATGCATAAAACCCTTCATAACACACAAGGGGACGGGTAATAACCGGAAAAGCATGACACCTCTCCTTTAAATGAAGATGTATCAGGTAAACCATTCACCTGCAGAAAAATAAATGACAAAGTTTAAAGGGAGTGTGTATCTAACCTTGAGAATAAAACAACTTCAGGTTGAGTCCGGTCAGCTGTTGCCGGGTTGACAGAGGAAATGTTTTGCGGCAGCAGCAGCACGAGAAAATTCAATTATGTCCAACCTTGACAGAGCAGCTCGGGTCAGACTTTGCTAAAACTGTGGAGCCGCTGCACACTGAGCCTTTTGATTTCCATGAAGTCTGCTCTGTGCACGGACCACAGTGCTGCTTTTCATTAGAGAATACACTCACACACACACACTCACACACTCACGGTAAAGTTAGCAGCAGAGGAAGTTCAGGACAGATACAGGTTGTCAGGTAACTTACGGACTGATTATTAATGATAGTAGTGAAGGAACATCTGTATTAACATTAAAACGTTATCAACCCTGAAAGGAAATTGTTTTTTGCCAGATTTTGAAAAAACGTTCAACACGACAAGACTCCTTTGTCCCTTGCCCGTCTATTGGCTAGCGCTCCAACACATTGTACGTGATAGGGCTAAGGGGCGGGACATCTCTAAGCGGTTCACCAATCACAACAGAGTCTGCCAGCTAACCAATCAGAGCAGACTGGGCTCTGGTTTCAGACAGAGGGTGAAAAAATGTGCTGCAGCACAGGCAGTATGAGAAAAATAAAGAGCTTTTTGAACATTAATGCATGGAGACATGTCACAGTAGAGACACTGAATACTGATATGAACCTTAACATCAGCAAAATATGTCCCTTTAACCCTGAGGGCTTAAGTCATTTAACAAATGATGAAAAATGATGAAAAAAGCTAAACAAGACTTTCTCCCTAAATATCTTATCAATAGTGATCATATAGTGTTTGTTTTGTATCTCTTCTCTGTGAGCTGTGCTGTTCTATAGGCTACTACTTTAAGACCCCCTTTACACGAGAACGAAACGGCTTGTATCTGCATAGTTTCTCTTGCGTATAGCCCTATTATTTACACGAGGCCGTAACAAAACGATAGAAACGGACCCCACAAACGATAACGGGTCCCAAGGTGGATAGATTTGCAAACAAAACGCTCTGGGGGGTCAAACGGCTCCGTGTAATCGCCTCTATACGATAATTTCCTGAAAAAATAACGATAGCCCCACCTCTCCCCGCCTCTGCTGCTCACTGCTGTAGCATGGCCAGTAGCTACTGCTAGTGCTACTGCTACTGACCATGCTACAGATGTTAGTACAACATCTACAGCTCGACCATGCTACAGATGTTAGTGCAAAATCTACAGCTCCTCTACCACAACCATCAGCAACAAGTGGACATGGAGAATTACATGAACTACATGTTGCTAAATCCACCGCAGTGCATAAACAGAAGGGTAGCCATGGCAACCATGCTCCGGGGTCTTCTTCGCTGCTTTTGGTGTATTTTGTGGCGGAAGTTACAGCGCCACTTACAGTCCCGGCATATGTACTACAGCGTTTCCAGCGGTCTCGTGTGAACAGACACGTTAAATGAAACGAATGCATGTGAACGGAAGACTTTTTTGAAAACGCATACTGTGCATAAACGTAAACGTTCCCGTGTAAAGGCAGCCCAAGTGTGAATCTATACGCCTACTGCCTGAATCTGCTTTATGGTTTTCACTTTCTTTGGTTCATTTGTTCGGTTTTTAAGTCAGTAGGTGAACCTATATATTCATAAAATAGTATGTGTGATCTTAACTGTGTGTATTAAATTCAAACGGAGCATTTTCTGTCAGCTCAGATTTTGTAGTTTGTGCTCAAGTGTTTCATTGTTGGTGTATAGGCTGCTGCCTGAATATGCTTCATGAAAGGCAGGTTTTACTATCAATAAAGTCATTTCTGATCCATCCTCACTTTGTTTTAATCCTTGTTTTGTTGAATTATAAGTGTCATGGGAAGCATGCGTTTAAATATGTGTGTGTAGCTGCACATGGTGTTGTGTCACGGCTGACAGAGTGGAGACGGTTGCAACAAGTGGTCCCGATAGACAACACAACAGCATTTAAATAAACAAGATATGTTGGGGTGATTTAAAGGATATTTAACCCAAATGCACATTTATATTGCTTTTTTGAACATGCTAAAGTAATTGAGAGGTAAATAATACTGAGGATAGTTCACCCAAAACCGAGTGTGAAGAAAATCAGTGCAGTTTTGGACTATAAATAATGCTTGTATTATTGTCTAAATAAATAAAACTAAACTATTATTGTGAAACAATACATACTTTAACAATACCATGCTCATTGAGAAACAACATGTGAATACTAAGTAGTGAAAATGTATTTTAAAAATCTGATTTTCATCCATTAAAATGTATATTGTGAACAACCTGTCATATACATTCATCCTTAAATGGTATGGGTAATTAGCACACATGTTCCTAAATACAAAATATAAAACTTCAGATTGTTGCCAGAACGTTTGTGCATGACACATGCACTTTTTTAAATCATATTTCTTCAAAAATATGTTTTAATTCCAATTTTCCACTTATTTGTATGCCTTTTTCTTATTTATGTTTTTGTGACATTTGTAATGTTTTTTGTTGTTACAATTTTACAATGATTTTATACTAAGTTAAAATTGTTATCAGTTGTTATTGTATGAATCTTACCTGCACTTATTGCTGTTTTAATGGCATTTTAGTGACATTCTTTTTCAATTTTTTTCTGTGACATTATTTCAGTTTTTAAAGACATATTTGTAATGTTTTTTTCTACATGTTATACTATGAATTTTATAATAAATAATAATCATAATAAAGCTGTATTTATATAGCACTTTTCATACAACACAAGCAGCTCAAAGTGCTTTACAAAATGGCACATCACAAGTTAAAAACAAACAACAAATCCCCCTCAGATTACCTGTTAAGAACTTTAAAAGGTACATGCAGCAAAATATAACATGTTATCAGGTTAATAGACACAAGGAGGTACAAGGTATGATAATACAAATAAAATAAATAATGGTTTCTCTCTGACAGATAAGACACAAGACAACTGAGTCGATGCAACAATATAAAATTTAAAATATATATAAGTTACTGATTGTTATCTTGATGTTGCTTTTTACATTGCCTCTCACCTGCAGTACACCAGGCAGTCCATGTGGTTGATCTCGGTGTCGGACCGGTGTCTCCGGTAGTCCTCCCACAGGTCCTTGATGGCGGTGACCGACAGGATGAAGACCACCGGGGCCAGAGCCAGCTCGGGCTGAAACGCGTTCACCACCGGGACGAAGTTGAGCAGAGCGATGAAGACAAAGTAAACATTAGCGAACCTGTGGAACTGCTCGAAGAGGTTTTTGGGTAGGAAGGACAGCACGGTGTACTTGGTGGTCTTTATCTTGTTATTTGAATAGTGTCTGTTGGGGTTTTCCTCCCCTTTGGCGTGGTCGTACAGTATATTAGCGTGCACAGTCCTGGTTTTATTCTCCTTTTGTTTCCTCTTTCTTTGCCTTTTTGCAGCTTTGGGGTCCTCCTCGCTGTCCCGCGCCATATCTGCAAACTTTCCCCTCACTTTGGGGAGTTTTTCAGATAAATAACTACACAAACCCTGAGTTATGTTATCATTCTTTAAGTTTTCGCCGGTTTATCCGCATTAACTTGCTCCTTTTCATCCATGGCGACTCCTCTTTCCCGTCGGAGGAAACTTTTTCTTGTTTGGCTTCTGCTTTTTTCCCTGGGAAGGATGCTGAGATAGTAGGGAGGCATTCAGCAACGTTAGACTTCCCACAGTAGATCTGTAAGCCATGCGGATGGGACTCAGCCATTGGTGGAATGATGGTGCTGTGTTTGTAGATCAGCGCATGCGCACCCACAGGAAGCTCGCCCCTCCTCCTTGGTTTTTTGTGTCTCCAAGTGCCACGCGGTATTATGGAGAGTCACAGGAAGCAGAGAAATGTGCTAAATAGAGAAGTAAACACTTTATTTATAAACAATAACAAAGATTACCTTTAGTGATTTATTTAGTTATTTATTTAGTTATTTATTTGTAATTTATTTGGGGGGGTTTGCAATACTATACGGTTGTTACATCAGAAATTGTATTAAAAGTAGGAAGACATATCACTTTAAGACAATATAAAAAGCAAAAATAAATAAAAATGTGAACGCATTAAAATACAAATCAAAGTATAAAATACAAATATAAGAACAAATAAGAGCAACAGATAATACACTGACTGTGCAGAGTTTATCATTTCAAAAGGCATAACAAAAGTCAAAGAAATTAATTAAAAATATCCGAAAAAACATTACAAATATCATAAATGTATTAGAAATGTAATTTAAAAAAAATCATAGTATCAAGGGTTAGGGTTAGGGGTTAGGGTTTAGGGTTAAATACAGAAACATATCCATAAAATATATTAAAAACATAAATAATTTCACAGAAAATGGCATAAAAATATCATTAAAATATATTTCTTTAAAGAAATGTAATACTAAATGTAATTTGAAAAAAGGTCATTGATTGGTACGTTTGGAAAAATATCATAACAAATTATCAAAATGTAAAAACAGGTTTACTAATGTATTAAATAAATACAAATCTTTGCAAATAAGCCATTGTAACTGGGCTAACAGTCACTAAATACATATGCAAAGTAAAAACACACACAAAAAATATTAAATAACAAAATCAGCGAAATCCCAACTAAAAACCCACCTATTCAAATCATCTCAGTCCCCTGAATAACCTCTCCCCATCGTTTGTGTCCACTATGATCAAAATACTGCTGCTGGTTTATAAAGCTTTGAATGGTTTAGGCCCAAAATACATTTCTGATCTACTGCTAAATTATGAACCATCCAGATCTCTCAGTTCTTCAGGGACTGGTCAGCTTTCTGTCCCCAGAGTCAGAACTAAACATGGTAAAGCAGCATTCAGTTATTATGCCCCACTCCCAGAAACCTGCAGGTCCGCTGCAACTCTTACTACTTTTAAATCCAGGCTGAAGACTTATCTTTTTGCCGCTGCTTTTAATTGAAACTGAGCGGTTGTGTTTCGTTTTTGGTTAATGAACATTTGGGGCTATAAACTTGCCTTGCCTATGATCGCCTGTTTTTTGTTTTATCGTGTTGCCTTTAACCTCTTGGAGTATTTACTAAGTTGTGCGGTGTCCTTGGGTGTCGTGAAAGGCGCCCTTAAATAAAATGTATTATATGTATTATTTTTACTGTACATTGGCAATCTCACCAGTGTTTCATTCACTAAATACAATTAATGTATTTTTGTTGTTAAACCTATTAGTTGGGCATGTTCTTCACTCTTTATTAGTGTCTCCTGAAAAATCTGTATTATATTACTCATCTCACAGACAGCTAACAGCCTGAAGAGGGCATGATACTCAAACAGTGCCCTGTGTGTGTGTGTGTGTGTGTGTGTGTGTGTGTGTGTGTGTGTGTGTGTGTGTGTGTGTGTGTGTGTGTGTGTGTGTGTGTGTGTGTGTGTGTGTGTGTGTGTGTGTGTGTGTGTGTGTGTGTGTGTGTGTGTGTGTGTGTGTGTGTGTGTGTGTGTGTGTGTGTGTGTGTGTGTGTGTGTGTGTGTGTGTTGTGTGTGTGTGTGTGTGGTGGGTGTTTGTGTGTGTGTTTTATCTGATCCGGATGGTTACTAATTCCTTTTCTTTATGGCGGTCATTTTTGACCGGGAACACCATGGGTGTTACAAAGTTCAATGAAAGTGGTGATCAGCAATTTTATATGTTCAAATGTCTACTGTGAAGGATATCATAAAGCCTTGATGCAATTGAATGTAAAACAAAAAAGTTATGATTGATGAAAGTAGTAAATCGGTCAGATTTAGAAACGATGTAAATATAAAAACACAAATTTGCCAAAACACATGAAGAAACATCTTCACCTTCTTGACATCACATGTGTAGCGTTAACTGGAAGCGCTGCAAGAAGCTCAAAGCGCTTGGTGACATTCAGGATTATAGAACTGTCTGTTGTTGGAAACGTACCTTAAATGTTTTATCAGCTCATTTTATGAGATCACATGACTCCTTCTGATATTACTGCAGATCTGCTGTAAGCTAGCTAGCTAATAGCTAACCTGGTCATACTAACAACACACTTACAGTTATGAAACAGACTAACTCTGCCAACAGAGACAGTTGTCCAACTTTATAACCCTGAACTTCACCAAGCACTCGGGTCCCAGCTGTGTGCGTCACTTTTTACTGTCCCCATGGTTTCCGTTGTGTTTTGAGCTTCTTACAGCGTTTCTTTATGCAGCGCAAAAGTTGTCAAGTTGGTGAAGATGTTTCTTCATTTGATGTGTTTTGGCACATTTATGTTTTATATTTGCATCGTTTTTGAAGCTGCAACCATTTATTCCACTGTTAGTGTTTTGGGCCTACAACGTGTTTGCAAGGGTCAGCCACCATAGAAATTGAATAGGAAAATAAACATCCAAAAGAAAACTCTCCCTGTTTAGTCTCACAAAAAGCCATAGTGGTTAATAATTCACACACTGTTTTGTTGTTCATCCGCAGAAGTCACTCTGCTGTGTGTGCACCATCTTATTAAGGATTTAGCTGACTGCCTATTGAATGTGTAATGCATTCAGGAGTTCGCTGTGCAGAGGCCCAAATAAATCAAAGTAATTAACTCAATAATTGATTTGATGAATTTCCCCGCAAAATCGAGACATTTCTGCTAAATCTGCAGAACCATGCAGCTGTTGGAGCGCGGGGAAATCACTCAGAGAGAGATCTTTGCATAAACAATGGGGATATTGTGCCAGAGGGTAAATCACTTTTAATTATGAGACAGTGGGGTGGTGCGAGCCTTTAATCGATGATTGAGAGGTGGATGTGTTCCAGTCAGATGTGGAAATAAAACAGAGAACACTTCCTGTCAAGCATAAAATTATCAAATCTCAAATGTGATTTAACTAAAATGAGCTTCTTATAATTACCGTACACACAGCTCTGAGTTAATTACGTTACTTGTCTTGCTTACAGACAGAACGTTTGAATATTCTCTCTGATGTTGGAAAATAAAAAAAAAGGCTGATCCTGTTTCAGGTTGTTAGGTTCATCCGAGACGAGCTTTTCAAAATAAAAGAAGCAGTCCTGAACATGTTACAGTGTGAACAGTTCCGACTTCTATTTGCACATGAAAAAACTGCAAAATAATATTAAAAAAATACTTGAAATATCTAAAAAACATTTGTACATCCTTGTTACGTTCCCTTATAGTCTAGGGTGAAAGGGAAGTGACAAAATATAAAATAACCTCTTCAAAACTAGATAACGTTCTCCCACAGAGACCAAGCGCTACGCAAGCTGCACTGGCACCCACTACCGTCCATGCAGCTCACAGGAGAAGGAGATTGGGATTACTTTAGGGAGAGGCTGCATCCAGAGGGAGACAATCAGGGGGAGAGAGAGAGGGGGAGAGAGAGAGACACACGCAAACATACCACAGCACGCAACAATCCTTTTATGCTTAAGCTGAAAGAGTTGGTTTATCGATAAAAGCAAAATGCAACAAAGTGCAACGGAAATGGATTAAACTAATGAATGATGACTGTATGAAAGCTGCTTATCTCCATTTATGGCCTAATGTGATCTTTTTACTTCTGGTCATTGCATTTCTGCTAAAAAAATCATAAAATGGTACGTAGGCCTACATGTATATGTGGAGATTCTCCCATTGGCTTTTTGTTAAGGGAGCCCTTGCAATGCTCCGGGTCGGCCTAAAACATTGAACTGCCTCTCTACCTTTTGGGTTAAATGGATGCAAATACAACCCTCCTTCCTGTTGCACCTCCTCCTGGAAACTTACTCTGTATATATTTTTACCCTTGGTCCCTTCTCCCAATGGCCCAGCAGAGCAGGAAAAGCAAAATAATTTTTAATGATTTTTGTGCAATAACTCTTCCTCAGGTCTGTGGGATCAATACTCGCCTAGGAACAAACTGCTGTTAATTTAGAATTAAATATTGATTCAAGTCATTCAACAATGTCATGGGACTCTACAACCTGCTGCTATTTTTCATCTGAAAACAGCAATTTACATTAGAGTAACGTTTCCATTCATCATATTGCAATGTGTATTCATAACTGTAGGCTACATGTAGTATCTGCACGGGTTAGGGGTCCTATGAACATTGGATGTTGTTCTGATCTTTCCACTATTTTAGTCCAGACTGAAATATCATTAGAAAGACTGGAGTAATTGCTGTTTAATTTTGTACAGATTTCTACTTCCTGTCTTTGTGTGTTTTCCCGCCTGTTTAATCACTGTTTCATGTCAGCATGCACCGCTAAGCTAAAGCGGCTAATGTTGGGCTATAAAGGAACTACAGCACAGTCACATGACTTCACGTACATCACCACCGCTAAGCTAAAGGCGGCTAATGTGGGCTATAAAGGAACTACAGTGCGGTCACATGACTTCACGTACATCACCACCGCTAAGCTAAAGGCGGCTAATGTTGGGCTATAAAGGAACTACAGCACGGTCATATGATTTCACAACACCACCGCTAAGCTAAAGGCGGCTAATGTTGGGCTATAAAGGAACTACAGCGAGGTCACATGACTTCACAACACCACCGCTAAGCTAAAGGTGGCTAATGTTGGGCTATAAAGGAACTACAGAACGGTCACATGACTACACGTCACCACTGCTAAGCTAAAGGCGGCTAATGT